ATTTGATCGTATGCATAGGGATTCATGTGTCCTGTGCGGATTTAGCACGCGATGGACGTCCTGTAGCTTTAAAACAAGCAACCTTTTGCTAATTCGTTTTCGGATTATACCTATCTACTATCTACTGTCAAATTACAAAGTCTTCCTGTTTCGAAAATCACGTCATTCAAGCGAAACATCTATTTGTCCTTTTCTGTTTGACATTCGACCATCCTCTGCACATCCCTCGTGAAGCGAGACTTACCGAGACTTTTCGAAACGGGACCGAACGCCGTTCGGGATTTTAGGCAATTCCCTGTTTAAGGAAGCTGACGCCTTAAAGTGACACTTAACGCATGCCTGTCCGCTTATAATCGGGTATTTTCAAGTAGGTAGTAGCAAAAATAATATATTTAATACACAACTTGGCAAACAGACAAAAACCAATATGAAAACAAAATAATCACTCACTGGGACCGCATTTTACTTAAAACCAAAGAATTTTGAACAGGGGGGTGGCTAAAGTCTAATTTTAGTTTTACGGACGTATTGGGCGAGAAATAAAAAATTAAGCAAATAAATAAAGTCGACACATGGCGCATGCAGACGAAAATTCGCTGTCAAACTTAAATCGGTTAACTTAATTTATGGTTATTGCAAATAGAAGTTCAATAAAAATGGTTTACGAGTCGAAAACTTGGCGAAACATATTTTTATCGCCGCGCTTTTAATCAAACTGGAAATACATACATTTCATTGGTCGATTGCGACGCGGTAAACACATCTGCCTTTACATTTTAATAATTATTTTCGAATCGCTTTAACAAATGGCATCGTAGGAGAAGACGACTCGAAACTCAGTTTGTCGGTATCGTTTGATTTAATGTTGACGACACACTTTTTATCGCAGCGATTTGTACGTTTGTATGTTAATTGCGGTATTGTCTTTACACTCGTTGTGTTCCATTTTTTATTTAAGTGGTTCTTTATTATTTTCCTTCAATAAACATTGCGGTACTACTAATTAAAGAACCCCACGCGAACCAAAACTAACCAAAAATTTTTAGACAGTGACTACAATGTTTTTTTGTTTCTACTTTTTAAATTTTTTAATGTTCAAATGTTTCTAACCTGATATCGTAGTAATTTTTGGGCCAAAACAACGGCTAATTTTATTTTTACAAAGAGGTGCATTATAAAAATTAAAAAGAATTTAGTTTTTTTTATAGTGTCTCATAAACAAATAAGTTCATTTTGATTGTACTTGTGCAATACAGGTCCAGGAAAAAGTATCACATAAGTTTTGATAATTTCGATAAATTTTGAAATTAAATTTTATGGTTAGGTTCATGAAAAAAAAACCCTACAACTACTACAGAGGATTTTTTGAGCAAAATGGCTTAAAGTACAGATGATTTTGTTTCAAAAACAATACTTATATTCAATAACCTACTGCTGCTAGCGAGAACCTTTGACATTGTGTAAGAGGAGCAGTAAAATAAACATAATCTTTCAAATTTTCGTTTGCTATTATTAAAGCCTTGAAAAAAAAGTTCCAAAAATTTTTACACAGTACTATCGTTTTTTGTTTCTAATTTTTAAAGTATCAATTTTCAATTTTCCAATTTTTCTAACCCACAAAATATTGATACTGCTATCGTAGTAAATGTTTGGGCTAAAAAACCGAAACAAATATTTTGTCGAACAGGTGCATTACAAAAAAACATAAAAAACATAAAAGTTCATCACATTAGTTTTAATAATTTCTCTTATTAAGTTTAAAATTTTCAAATTAAATTTTAAATAAAAATTTTATATTTTAAATAAATTATGTCAAAATAATAAATAATGTTGAACGCTGACTGTTTTTGTCAGATGTTAACACAAATGTTTAAAAATAAAAATGATCAAAAATAGCCGTTGCAGTTAGAATAAACTGACTTTAGATATGCGCGAAAATAATTATTCTCGTTACTTATTATTTAAATTTATACATATAAAGGATTATAAAATTTATACTTTTTAAGATATGAATTTTTAATTTTCTAATTTTTCCAACTCACAGGATATTAATAACGATATCGTCTTGAAACATTTTTTTATTGTTTTCTCTAAAAATGGGCAAAATCTAGTAATTGCCTATGTTTAAAACATCTTACTGTTATGCTTTAACTTCAAAATGTGTGACCGGATTATTTTATTTTTGCTACGAGGTGCATTAAAAACAATAAATTTTTCAAAAATGTATCCATTATTAAATAAGTTTTAATAATATGTTATATTCTAAATTATGTTAAAATAATATTTATAGTATTAATATTAATACTTACCATCGTTACTTGCTATACAAACATAGAAAATTATTAAAGTATGTATAAATGAAAATTACTTTTTGTATCGATATAGTAATTTTTTTTGTTCTTAAATCTCTTTTGGTAATCGTTAGTAACGATTTTTTTGCTCCTCTAGACCTAACGATGAAATAATGTTTTCCAAACTTTCACCGTCAATATCTCAAAAACTAGACACAAAAAGCTAATATGTTCGGATTTAATCGCTTTTTTTGGCGACACGCGAAATATGAAGCGATATTTTCGGATTTACATGTTTTGCTTTGATCCGCGAGGGGTTATCAAACGGCAAGGATTTAGTTTAGTGCTGAAAAAATGTGATACAGTTATTTATCATCTACAAGTAATTTTCCACGGTTAATATTATTATGAATTTGATTTACGTGTCAATAAGAATATGGCAAACATTAGTAGTCGCCGGGAATTTTTCGATTCGTCCTACAATTTAATTTGATCGTTTTATGGCCCGCCTTACCGTGATAAATATATGATAAAGCCGTCTCGAAGGGAATAGCTCAAATCTCTAAATCAATTGCTCCCATTTTTTAAAATCTTACTCGACCTATCCATTGTCATTATTTTTGCCAAAACCTCCAAAACTAAACTGTGTGCTTTTCTTAAAATAACGTTTGTAGTCTAGTCGATCTGGATTTGCCAACTGCCACAATGCAAAACAAATATTATTGTGACATAATACTAAATATTATAAATAATTGAAATTAAATATATGGTAAGATAAAATGGCGTGTTCCACATAAAACTACCTACTATACTATCTGGACATTTGGCAATCGGGAAAAATGTTATTTTATGAAAACACGATGATTTGTGATATAAAAACTATAAAACAAGGACGATGCAGTGCTAAAGTATTGCCGTTATTATTGGTCCTGGATTTTTTAAGCAGTATCTACATAGACAAGCATTCTTAAATTGGCTAGAAAATCACGTAATGGACCGACTGCGAGAAATTTTCCGCGAGTTTTTAGTTTTTCAACAGGATAATATGATTCATATCACTGTGGGAAAGAGTATTTTTAAATGCGCATTTGAATTTAAGTATTTATAAAAACGGGTATATATTATAGCCACCGAGTCTGGATGTTTTTTGTGGGGCACACCTAAGGATAAAGTGTATCAACTAATAAAATATGTAAATAGTAAAACTGTCAAATCAATACGAATTCCATTCATTTCCCACTTCATGGCCGCTTACTTTTTTGACAGCATGCAGCTCTACATTTCATTTACACATCGTTGTCATTTTCCATAAAATTACGATTTTCCCTGAAATTGTTGAATTTTTATTATTGAATTCTTGAATTTTATTTTATTAGTTAGGATATTTTTATTATATTTAACATAGAATAATTACATGATTGTATTATTTTAAAAAATCGACCACAGTTATAATAAACATTTTTCTCTGCTAGATTTGTAGATATTATAGTTGGTAGTTTCATATGACAGGGGTGCTTAAAAAGGTGAGGACATTGAATAATTCATATATTAATACATTTATATATAGCGAAAATGCGATTTATTCAAAGATTAGACCTAACTTTAAATGATTATATCTTCAATATAAACGAAACTTTAATCAACTTGTGATGTATTTAGAGGAAAATGTTTTACAAAATTTAAATTTTAATATAACTTTTTTCTAACGTTTTGTTGATGACTTCTATCCTAAAAACCAAAAAATCTTGTTAATGAAATTACAAATTACAATTTACTATTCAAATTGAAAAGGATAAAAAATAACTTTCCTTGACTTATCTTTAATAAGAAATCTTAATTTAAAGTAACATAAAAACAAAATGGTATACAAAAGATACATGGTCAGAAAGATATTTAAATTACAATTTCAATCACCCTAAAAATAAAAAAAAATGCTGTCATTATCGTGCTGGTCGTGCTATGAAGCTAACATCACCAGAATATAGGTCAGAAATTTTATCAAAAGTCAAACAAATTTTAATTCAAAATCATTTCCCTGAAAAAAATATTAATAAAATTCTTAAACAAAAAAGCCACATTTTATAATAAAAATAAAATATAAAAAAATAATATAATTAATCATGTTGTAATACCATATACAAATAATTTATCTGGAAAAATAAAACATAATGTTTCTAAATAATCTTACAAATTAATAAAATCAATGTTTACTCCATTAAAAAAAATCCAGTGAAAAATAAATTAAATGTATGTTCAATGCATTCTTCAACGACAAGCCAACTGTTAGAAAACCGTATAAATGGACATAACTGTACTAGAAACTCCATTACATAAACATGAAAATTTAACAAACCATGAATTATATAAATTTATTTATTTATATCAGAATTTATATAAAGAAAATGATAATAGAGTCTGTTACAAAGAATTAAAAAAATGGCATTTACTGCCTGGAATAGTTTGTGTCGCTAAGTCGTATAACATCTTGGCATACGAATTTAATATTTTTGAAAATAAAATATTTTGTCGCTTTATGTGTGCACGCGTTGCATTTAAGCGCAATAATACACTTTATTATTCAATAAATCCAAAAATAAGTAGCATGCAAGTTGAAAATAAACAAACAATTAACCCGACGTCGCATATCATGTGGCTTCAAAATGCTTTTTTTGAATTATAGTTTTAAATTCTATTTCCTCCATATTGCAGGTACCGGAACTTTCGGAAGGGTCCTCTTATGCAAAAACAAACAAACTGAAGACTACGGTGCAATGAAAATCTTAAGTCTGGCGGATGTTATTCGATTAAAACAAGTTGAACATGTCAAAAACGAGAAGAACATACTTCAGGAAATCCACAATCCGTTTATCGTGAACCTGTAAGTACCGTTTCAATTTTTTTTTAAAACCTTTGCAGGCCATTTATTTATTACTGAGTTTAATAGGACTCTTGGAAAGTGGACAACTGAATTTTTTTACTTGATTTAGAAAATCCACTACCACATATCCACAAATGTTTCCAAAGATAGATTTTTTACATGGAATAATGCTAAAATAGCTGAACTAATCACACAAAAAAAATCCATTTAAAATTTCCTTTCCTTATTATCTCATTTAATATTTCTTTTGGTATCAGATCTTGTCGATTTTCTATTGAGTTTGCTTGAGTTGCATTTTAGTCAATATTTCTACATTTTTCGACGTTAGATTGTTATTTCCTTGACCTAATCGTGACGGTATATTTTTTTCAGTAAAGTAATAACTTTTACTGAAACGTATTTTTCTTTAGAACAACAAAAAAGGACAAACGCCCTTCACAATTACCCTGACATTAAAAGGTAAATGAATTTTTTTTAAATAACAGTTCAGCGAAATTTTGGCTAAAGTCTATAATGGCACTATATTTTGGGAATTTTGAATCCGTAATAAATATGCAATAGTGTCCTGGGAAGGAAATTCTGATATTCAAAAGTAAAAAATGCAGTATCTAAATCCACTTGCAGGGAACCATCTATTAACTGCTTTTATTTTCAAGTATCTACTATTTATTTACAAAAACGAAGACAAATTTGATTATTCATTTTATATACATCGATGCATGATGATGATGCATCGATTATTGAGAAAAGTTCGCTATATTATTCAGGAAGAAAATAAAATATATGTCAATTAATATTGAAGCTGATAGCATCAATGAATTTTCGATTGCCGATTTTTTTTGGACGTTATTGTATTATTTGGAGACGAATCAAATATATTTTATATATACAGTGTGTCCCACTTAATAACTTAACCCTTGTAAAATCTTTGTATATCGTTCGAGTTTGATTTTTTTAAGACCATTTAACAAAAAAGAGATAAGTACTATTAGGGATTTTTTTTAAAATAAATCGGCAACGAATTCTTATTCAGTAGTACTTAGAACCCAACTATACCAATTTTCATAATGTTTCGATACATTGTGTTTGAAATATCGTTTGCGGCCCGCTTAAGGCTGTATGTCGTTGTAAAATCTTTGATTGCGCTTTGATTGTGATAATTTTCAATTGTAACCGTAATCAAAGATTTTACAACAGCCTTACGCGGGGCGCAAACGATATTTCAAACACCCTGTATTGAAACATTATAAAAATGGGTATAGTTGGGTTCTAAGTACTACTGAATAAGAAAGAATTCGTTGCCAATTTTTAAATCCCTTTCTTCTCTCTCTTTTGTTAAATAGTCTCAGTTGGCCATGACTTTAAGTTGAAGCAATAAGCAAAACAAGATTTTAGTGCATTTTTCACCAATAAACAAAGATTTTACAAGGGTGTACAGTTCTTAAGTGAACACACTGTATGCTTATCAAAATTGTATAAAGAAGTATTATTATTATTATTAGCACCATCACCACAGCTTTCAATAGCTAATAAAATTTAAAGGAAATACCTATGAAAAACTAGTTTTGCTGATTTTTTTTATTTTATTTATGCTATATTTATATATTACCCTCCTCTTCAGGAAATCTAAAATAACGTAGAAATTTTTTTTTAAATGTCATAAAATGCCAGACGGTTTAATCATGCTAGTGACTCTTGTGACTATAAATCATTCAGTACATCAGTTACTAATTCGTATCGAAACCAAACTCGAGCTGCGCCTATACGAACTAGAAAGCGGCGTTTCCAGGAAAAGTAGGTAATTTATCTCGCTATATTGAAAGTGAGGACACCAAACACACCCGAGGCTAAAATATTACGGCGTGTAGATAGTTGAATGACCAGAAAAGAAGAAAGTACACGGCGGGGACACCAGACAGTCTGCCGATTCAGCCTACCTCGACCCAATGTACTTTTTTCTTTTTTATTTGGGACTATGTTATTTAAATTGTACGCCTTTCTGAGGGCGGGACCGCCCATAGTGAATATGTAATGCATCAACGGTCCCGTAAGATTATTGACCTGCTTCCAAATAAATTTTAAGAATTCACATGAATAAATCAAAAAACCAGGTCGTTATTTAACTCTGCAAAACTTGCATACAAAATATTTTTTCCAAAAAGCGTAGCTCCCACATATATAAATTGTAGCGAAACCCATTTGGCATTAAAAATCTGATGAATCCATCATTAAAGGGCGTCGACTTTAGTTCTCTCGAACTTTTCAAGAATTTTTGACTCCAAGTCCCTATGTGAACCTTTTTTTTTTTAATTGCATTTGGATAGGTGATACGAATATGTGAGTAATTGAACGATGCTGCATTCCTCTCTCGGGATTACACTTTTGGCTAATGTCCAGGACCAGCTGCTTCAATTTGAAACTTAACAGAAACAAGACACAAGTTTTGGTTAGTTTTACCACTCGCGTCTGTTCAAAAGGCTTATTTGAGTTTAGAGACTAATGATCGGGTGCTAAAATTCACAAACAACCCGAAGAATCTGCCCTCTACAGAGTATCTTGAGAACCATTTACGATACCCATTTCTAGCCTTGATACTATTGAACCACTTCTTTATGAGAAGTTTGTGGTATTACAAAGATAAAAGCATATTTTGATAGATGTTTTATGTACATTTTTAAGACTAAAAAAATTTCGCCAATTAAAAGCCGTTTTTATCTCTTTAATGCTACCAGAGACGCCATTAAGAGAATAAAAATAAATACATAATATACATAATATACATACATAAATTTGGCAAAAATAAATTACACTTACCAGATCCACAATTCTGGTCAAATTCTAGTTTTTAAAAAACATTTTCTACGTTTACTGTTATGCCAATAATTAAACCCGTAATAGTCTTGCAAATGAGAATAGAAAATTTTTAGTTTTGTGACAATGACAATACATCTTAGAAAAAGAAACAATCTAGGTCATTTAAATAAATGATAAAAAGCAAGGGCCCAAGAATACTACCTTGCGGCACATCGGATCCAATAGGGAGTTTTTGAGAAAAAAATAGACAACTTAATTTCGTTTGACTATAACCACTTCTGTCCCCGCCACATTTTCAAAGCGAAGACTGTTTTTTCATTCATATTTTTCGATATCTATTGACATCAACTTTATCTAATGGTTATTTTTGTTAGGTGTAAATAGGTGTGCGCAAAACTCAAGCAAGAAACGTGTATAACCTTTCAAAATCGTACGTTTAATTCTCGAAGAACCGTAGCTATAAAAGCGTAATGTAAAAATTTGATATTACAAAACTATACAAAGGGAAAGGAATCGCTACCAGTCGCTTTTCGTTTGTTATTAAAATAACCGCGCCCGATGTAAACATTGAAAACGTCTGTGACTCAGAGGCGTGTGTGTGAACTATAGATTGCTTTCAAGGAATCGCCGAAAAGCAATCAGCCGTTTTCAATAAAACTTTCACTAGCGCCCGAGTAAATTTAAACGGTTCGGTTTGCAAAGGTCAAGTTTAAAAAATATTATCTACAAGGTAACGCGAATTTTATTGGATATAACGTTCGCAGTTTTTTTTATCGTTCAAGAATAGTGTACCCTCACCTCACATACGAACCGTGAGAAACGATGACAAAAGCTCAAAAAAAGGGGAAACCTTATCTTATTCATAGCCGCGTACAAAAATTTTAAAATCTCAAATTATCTCCAAATATTGTTGCTACTTAAAAATGGAAAATTTATTTCTTTGTACTAGGACTTTGCCGGCTCAAAAGAGACACTTCCTTAAGATGAAAATCTGCGAAAAAATTCATCTCTAGATAGCAGGATGTCAGGATTTAAAAATGTGTTGTTTTGTCAATTTCCTCCCATAAATTTGGTAAAAATAAATTGCACTTACCAGATCCACAATTCTGGTGAAATTCTAGTTTTTAAAAAATATTTGCTACGTTTACTTTTATGCCAAAAATAGGAAATTTTTAGTTTTGTAAAAACATACAAAAAAGTTAAAATAATCAAACTGACGGTTATACATACTTTCTTATAATATTATAATAATTAGTTGTAATGATTAATTAATAATTATAACAATTAATCACATTGCTTCTAATTATGGGTGCATATGATTTTTTAATTAAATATGTACCGGTTTGGATTATTCGGTTTGATAGCTTGTATTTTACCCACCTACACCAACTTTCCAATATTTTTTTGTTACGCCAATTTATATTTATCTAGGTCCCATCCTACTCATCGATTTTGAACGATTGCTTCGGTACGAAGGCGTAGAAAGGACCTTAGATTATTTTTATTATTACTCCTGAAGCCTATTCAAAGTCACTGCCGTTGTTCTTCATGCCCGCATGCAACTTTCTAATCTAATTCTTTTTTCTATCGCTTGCCCTTTCCAAAATACATATGGCCGTAAGATTTCGAGATAAAACATGAAATTTCTAAATTTTGAAATAAAACATAATTTTCAGATAACACAAAATGTAATTATTTCGAAATAAAAGGTGAAATTTTAAGATAAAATTTGGAGTTGAACCACAAACTTTTAAAATTTCAAGATAAAGCACGCAATTTTAAAATTACAAGATAAAACTTTAAAATTTCTTAAAAATTCTAAGGTAAAGTGCCGAAATAAAACACGAAATTTTAAATTTTTAAGATTAAATACGAAAAATTAAGGTGAAATTTCGAGTTTACACAAGAACTTTTTTAATTTCGAGATAAAACATGAAATTTTAAAGTAAAGCTTCCTGTTCAAACACGAAATTTTAAGTTTCCGGGATCAAACACTAAATTTTAACGAAAAATCTCGAATTTTAAGATACAAAATGAAAGTTACTGTGAAGTTAAATCACTAAGCTTTAAAATTCAGGCATAAGACATAAAATTTTAAAATTTCTTAAAAATTCCAAGGTAAAGTGCCGAACTAAAACACGAAATTTTGAATTTTTAAGATTAAATACGAAAAATTTCGAGTTTCAACACGAACTCTTTAAATTTCGAGATAAAACATGAAGTTTTAAAGTAACATTTCTTGTTCAAACACAAAATTTTAAAATTCCGGGATCAAACACTAAATTTTAAGGAAAAATTTTGAGATACAACATGAAAGTTACTGTGAAGTTAAATGGCTAAGTTTTAAGATTCCGTCATACGACATAAAACTTTAATTTTTTTTTAAATTCTAGGGTAAAGTGTTGAAGTAAAACACAAAATTTTAAAGTGTTAAGATTAAACACGAAAAATTAAGGAGAAATTTTGAGTTTAAACACGAACTTTTAAAATTTCTAGATAAAACATGAAATTTTGAAGTAACATTTCCTGTTCAAACAAGAAATTTTAAAATTCAGGGATCAAACACTAAATTTTAAGGAAAAATTTCGCGTTAAAACACAAAATTTTAAAAAAAAATCTCGAGTTAAAACATGAAATTTTGAGATACAACATGAAACTTTAAAATTTCTTAAATTCTCAGGTAAAATGTCGAAGTAAAACACGAAATTTTAAAGTTTTAAGATTAAACGTGAAAAATTAAGGAGAAATTTCGAGATAAAACATGACAGTTTAAAGTAGCATTTCCTGTTAAAACATGAAATTTTAAGATTGCGTGTTTATTTTTGCGGTGTGTCCTTTCCACCCCTTCTTTACTCCCGCGGAACTTAATTTTTCGCTTCTTTTCAGATTATGGTGCAATCGGGATGAAACTTGCATTTACATGCTCTTCGAATACGTCTGCGGGGGCGAACTGTTCTCTTACCTCAGAAACGCCGGTAGATTTACCACTTCCACGGGAAATTTCTACAGTGCGGAAATAGTTTCCGCTCTAGAATATTTACATTCGAAAAATATCGTGTACAGAGATCTGAAACCGGAGAATTTGTTGCTGGACAGGGAGGGCCATTTGAAAATTACGGATTTCGGATTCGCGAAAAAGTTGACCGATAGAACGTGGACGCTCTGCGGGACCCCCGAATATTTGGCGCCCGAGATTATTCAAAGCAAAGGACATAACAAGGCCGTGGATTGGTGGGCATTGGGTATGTTTTTATAATAAAGAATTTGCAGGTTTTTTTGTATAACCACGTTCTGGGGTATTTTCTGAATTTGAAGAAAAGACCAATTAATGCTGATAAAACTGGAAGTAACTAAAGTGTGGTGGGTATTAAACTGTTTTTTTTTCAGTGTACAAAGATAAGGAATAAGAGGGTATTTGGGGGTATTTCTATACATTTTCTTGTTGATTATAACGTTAAGTCATAAATATTATACAAAAGAGGCAATTAGATATCCGTAAAAGTAACCAAAACTATTTCTGGCACTTCTACATCTGGTAGAAAAATTGGAATCTTTGAGGTGTTTCTTATCTATTTCCCCATTTTCCATTTATTTCATATGACAGGAAATCTTAGAGTTACAGGACAACTTTTGTATTTATTTTTTTTAGCATTACTATTCGCAAATTGAAAAAAGAATCTTGTTGAGTCTATCACTAACCAAAATTACAACAATTGTTTTATTTACAACACATTCTTTTGGATTTAAACTAGCTTGTTTGTTTTTAAACAAAGATAAACTAAAGATAGCAAAAATATTTTTTTATCTCCGCTCCCAAATGGAAATATGTTAAAATTTTAACCAAAAAAAATATCACGTGCGTGGAATATATTTTTTCAAAAGCACGTTTATTTTGTTTTTACTTTGTGGAACACATTTGGCGATACATTTATCGTACTTTTAATATAAAATATCACCTGTCACAAAGCCATTTTAATGGAGATGCGAATTTTGAACGAACATTTACAGCTATTTTATGAAAAAATCGTACTTGTTGGAGAACTGGGGTATTTCAATTTTCTCAGGATTTTTTAGGATTTTCCAATAACAAAAATTAAACTTTTTTTAGTGGATTCATAAATTGCAATTACTTTCACTCCACGGCCTAATTTTTCTAATATTAATATTGTTTCTAAATCCAGGATAATACTTATGCAACTAACTTTAGGAGACGATTCTTTAAATAAGTTGGCGTGATCTGGAGTGTAAAGTTTATTTTCATTTTATTTTCAAGTTTATTTTAAATAAATTCCAGGATTTTGTCCAGTGACAATTTTGCTCATTGTATGGGGTGATTTGCTATTGTGGTGGTTAGATCGAGTATCTCAGGAGCCAGTAGTATTGGTAAAAGAGTAACAGAAAATATCCTGCTGGAAATCAACCAAGAGAAAAATCCTGGAAATATATGTGTATTTTTGTCGCAAAAAGGATAGACGATTATCGTCATATACAAAAATTTTTCTATGACAAATATTTAACTAAATATTCCGTCCCTGGACGAATAAGATATTACTGACATGCGGTTTTAAGGTTATATGTACTCGCACAAAACTATAGAATTTTAATGGAATAAGAAATAGATAAGAGATATAAGGGGGAGAGTAGGCGCTTTTAAAATATACCGTTTCCTACATTATTTTAAAGAAAAACTATAACTATTGGCATACTATTTTCTTCTACATACTATACGTTTTTAAAAGTAGTAACCTCGAAGTAGAATACTTTGTGGTTTCTAGATTTGCACGCCGATTGGAAAATTGATGGGAGATTAACCTATTCCATTTTAGGGGTGCTGATATACGAAATGCTGGCGGGATATCCTCCATTCTACGACGACAATCCCTTTGGTATCTACGAAAAAATCCTCAGCGGAAAAATAGAATGGGCGAAACACATCGATCCCGTTGCCAAAGATTTAATCAAAAAGTTGCTCGTGCAAGATAGAACAAAACGGCTGGGCAACATGAAGGTGAGTTAATTTTATCCGAATCAATTGGTTTTTGTTGAAAAAAAAATATAGGAATTTCACCCAAATTCGATTATAAGAACAGAAATTTTCTTTGCGGTTTATAGTTAACACTCTGTCACAGAATTTTTTATTTAAAAACTACTGGCAAGAAATTAATTAGCAAATAAAGCGTATGTTTTTTTTTCTTTTACAATTGTATAATTGTTTCTTTTTTCTTGCATCGTTAGGTTCGTAATAGCGAGAAATAGAACCCTAAACATATAATAATCAGTCACAATAACGATATAACAATAACATTAATCTTGGCAACCATTCGAGTTGATATGAAATCTACTTTTTAAGTAAAGGGACATGGTACTACGGAAAGCAACATGTAATAATAGTTATCCTTTTAAATTTCGCTTACTAACCTGCACTTTACGGTATTTTGTTTCTAGACAGGAACCTCCCACTCACTTAACACTTTTTTCCCAAACGCTTTAAGCTTACCTAGCATGTTTTACGAAAATACTGCCGTAAGAATGTTTAATCTAAACTGAAACCAGTGGAATTGAGCTGTCAGCGTCCATGTTGTTGGTTGAACACCGCTGGGTCTTATTGGTTAGTTTTAAAAACCGCGCATGCGCATACATGTTGAGTTATCAGCAAATGCAGAACCTCTATATCTAGTAGCAATATGCATAATGTACTAATTGTAAAAGCGTTTTAGTTGGTTCAGAGAGAATTCTATTTAATTGTATTTGATATTTCCTTGTTTAATTGCATTCGTTGTTGCAGAGCGGCGCTGAGGACATTAAAAGGCACAGATGGTTTAAAGGCATTGACTGGCAAGAGGTCATTCAGAGAAAGTTAATAGTGAGTTTTTCATAATTAAGAATCAATTCAAGGGAAAAGCAACATTGTCGTTTGTTTCAGCCGCCAATTGTTCCGAAAATAATGTACGATGGCGACACGAGCAACTTCGATGATTATCCAGAAAGTGATTGGAGAAGTGCGAGGACACTAGAAGACTCGGAGTTGAAATTGTTTGACGATTTTTGATCCGTTCGTGATAACTTTCCGAGTCGTGATGACCAGATTAAAAAAAAGATGCGCATTTATCGCGTGTGACTGAACTCCGTGAATGTCGTGGGCCGTGGCCAGTGATCTATAGAAACTAGGCGTTAATAACCGTGTCATTTTAAAAATATGAACTGTTTGTGATTTTGTAAAAATGACAAAACTAAACATAAAAGTGCATATGTGGGTGGTATTTCATATTATACCTTTATAAATAAATGAAAACTATTCGTTACTGGTCTTTTATTTAAGCAGTTGTTGATAAATTTGGGTTATTTTCAAAATAGACTAGTGAAAGAAATTAACAGCCTCGCCACCATCTACCCGCCCATAGAAGAATTAGTCATCGACCAGACCGCCTCACTAAACTAGATACGTATGGTCCCGCTAGAGTGATCCACGGGCTACCAAATTAAAGTAATAAGAGGGCGCTGGTTGCGTTTTTTGATATTTGTACCCACTTCATTTGAATAGTAAATTGTTTAAGTTCGGCTTCGTGTTTAATTACGCTGATTTAACAGTTGTTACAATACCCAAATGTCCAACAGTTATGAATAAAATTCTTAAAATTAAAATAGCGAAAAATGAGCCAGAGATTAACAATACACGCTTTATTGCTATCACTTTGTCTAAACTTATAAAGATGACACTCTCATACTGATCAAACAAGAATCTCATTTTTACGCAAGCACATTCTTTGAAACATAAATTTCTATTACAGAACAAAACTTTGATTTGGGAAACGTAATACGTCACAGAAATTAGGAGAAATAACTATCCTCTTTTGTTTAGCGTCTTTGAAAGATTTGGATTATAACCAATTTCGTTGTTGTTCATGCGCACTTTGTTCCGTACTTCTTAGCTTTAGTCAGTTCCAGCTGATATTTTTTGTTTTTTTTTTGCGGATTAAGTATATTCATCATTATTACGCGTCAATCTGGGGTCGCCTAAGGCGAAAAAGTCTTTTTTAATTACACCATCGCTGAAACACTGCGCATGCGGAAGCCGGAGTATAGAAATGCGTGGTTGCCAAAAATGTGTGAAAACTCCAGACGCTCGAGTTCCGAAATGTATTCATTTTTCTTGCTGCGTGTTTCGTGATGTTCAAGTAAGTTTTAGGTTGTTTCCTTGTTAATAAACTTAGCAAAGAAAGTTTAAATAGCCCATGTACATTTTTTTTAAGCGAGTCAAATTTCTGATCCCCTTGACAAGATTTCTAAAAGTGATTCGAAAGTGCTAAAATGCCAAATAACTTGCCTGTCACGGCAATGCTTTGTATTATTAGAATATCTGCCTGAGACTACACTCCAAATATTAACGAAAAAAATACATTTTGCAGTAACATCAATTTATTTTATTGACTCTCTTGCTACAGATTTCTATTTAAACAACAATGATTAACACTATATAATGGACACAGTATTTCAATAGTAATCGATAATTCGCAATAGGCGTCGTCTATCTCGGCCCTGGGAAACAGATACGATGTTTAAAAATAGCGGCACCCTTAATCCCGTGAATAATATTAAAAAATAAATCTTATATAATAATATTGTAATATCATGAAATAAAAATGCAAAACTAGAACTAACCACCCTAACTAACTAACATGAATGGTAAAGAAAATCAATCCGTATTTACTGACCGGTATAACATTTTATTACTTTTTCACTTGGGCCGGAGTTAAGCATTCCTCTAGGCTCAATAAAAGTTATTTTAACTGAAATATCTTTTCGGGGCCAGACGAACGACGCCATTAGCACTGTAAAGGTTTATTTGAATAAATCAAGAAAATTCTGGAATTACGAAAAATGTTCCTGTCCCGTCACAACCTGCGACGAAACATAATAAAATATATAACCGCCATAACCAAAACTACTGTTCGATGCGATAACCACATATTCTAAGCAACCAACGGAAGGTCTACTATCCAATTTCTTGACTAAAAGAAAGAAAATCCGCATTTTAGAATATGTTTCGATAAATAGCTACTTTTGGCCAAATTCTTACTTACACATTAACAGTATGTATATTGAACAAGTTATTGTCTTTTGTAACTTACTTTATCTATGTACTTAAACGAAATCCAATAAAAGTCTTAATTAAAATTCACAAATAGCTGGAGAAAAATATTTCAACGGGCATGCACTAATAAAATTCACGCACAACGGTCTGAATAAAATTTATTTTCAAACATAACAACTCTCGGAGAAATCCACCACCATTCAAAGAATTTTGTAAGCACAGCCCTTAAATATACTACGATCAATAGTTTCCGGGGACCCGATTCTTTTTATATATGGTGCCTTTAATTGCTTTTATTTTATTTATTTTATTGATTTCAGGCGTGTTTTTTGAATGCTGGTTTCAACTGTTTAGTTCAACTGGCGGGAGTGCTTCAATTATGAAACCTATTTCGACAAAGTTAATGTTCAGGTAGGTCAAGTTCGGTAAGTTTTTAAGTCAAAACTTTAAATTTGGGAGCAATATAAGCATTTTTCTTGAGATATCTTGATAGTTTGACCCTAGTTAAAAATATTTTTTTATAATACATAATAACGTCATAATCAATTTAAAAATATATAAATATCTGGCTATTACTTTTGGGCCAAAAATCTGTATCTCGAAAACCATCGTGCAAAACGCTGCTGGTATAAAAAACGTGCGTTCCAGTCAGTCCCATTGTCGACGTGAGCAAAAATGAAAAATTTAAAATAGACGTTCTCACATCATTCTATTTTAACATGGGGATAGTAACATTAAATAATTTGACGAATGTAAGCCGGCTGTGGTAGCGAAATATTCAGGCTTAAACGGGAACCGGCACCTCCGGAAGGGTGGGTTGTATAATGCCGCCTGGAGCAGGCAATGTGGTTCGGCCATTGCGGAAATAATCGTCGACTGCTCGCGCGGCTTGTCGACCTTCGGAGATTGCCCACACAACCAAGGACTGCCCCCTTCGACAATCTAAACGAAAATATATTGACATTTCATTTTTTTACGAAGTCGATACTACGGAGGACTAAGCGGGAAATAACGTCAACAAAATGAGGCTTGTAAATCAGCTTTTTAAAATTGTTGCCATAGGCGCGGCGTTTTAACAGGATGATATACGTAATAAATATGTCAAAAAGCAATCCTTACATTAAAATGTTGCTTATTAGTGAAATACATAGCCAAAGTTTAGTGACTCAACCAGTTTTCATGTTGATATTTGAAAAACTATATTTTTAGAGAATTTGAATTAGTCATATATATACCTCAACTGTGAGACACCCTATATGTTATTGCAATCGTAACTAACAAGATATTCATTGTATCTCACTAATTACTAACAACCATTGAGATACAAACACAAACTCATTGTCGTACCCAAGATATGCCCAAATTAAATTCTGATTGAAAGTTAGTGATATAGCATTGTTGCCGAGGCATCAGTCTACAGAAAAAACATCAAAATCAAAATAATAGTTGCGGGGAAGCCATTTTGCAATTGGAATCAGTTCTTAGTGGCCAACTTTTCCTTAAGAAATCATAAATCTATCATACATAATCCTATAAAAAAGTAAGAGAACGGTAGAAAAACTAGAAAGATTTTAGAGTGTAACTAGCGCTCTCTAGATATTATGTGAAAAGTAGAATGTGATCGCATTTGCTATGTCTAAAAATCTCTAGATCCAAGTTTTCATGTGGATCAATTTGATTTATATAAAAATAACAATTTCGAGAAGCACACTTTAACATCCTGTATGTCACTAATAAGCGACATTTTACTAAGGCATATTTGGCTCAATATCGTTATTTTCAGGAGTTTAAACTAGCATCTCCTAAAGTCAGAGAGCTATCCAAATAATATAATATAATAGAAAAATAATTATACACGGTATAAGAAAACAGATAACTAGATAAAGTTACTTTTACAATGAAACACGCTGTATATTATTCGATATTTCAATTGTCAAAATATAGCAAATAATTTTAAAAGCACCATACCCCTAAAATGAAACCGTTATCAAAATAAGAACAACTCACCTCCAGCCGCAAACACATTTGGTACATTCGTTCTGTAGTTCGTAGTATCGATATTCGATCTGGCATCTAACTTTAGTTCCAATTGTTCGGAAACCTTCTTCTCGTGCCCCAAGAAACCCATCGCCAGTAACACCAAATCGGCCTTGAATACTCGCTCGGTGCCGGCTTTTTGGCTCATCTGCCACCTTCCGGCGGCGTCTTTAGTCCACTCTACGTCGATGGTTTTTATCCCGCTCACGTTACCGTTGCCGTCATCGTTGAACTCCTGGCTCATGATGCTGAAGATGCGCGGGTCACTACCGAAACGCACTTTGACCTGAGTAAATAAAAATAGTATATACAAACATAAAATGTTCAATGTGTTTTCAGTTATTCCTCATTTTCGGTTTAATCTGATACTATATTACTTTTGATTTCCGTTTTATTTTAAAGCTATATTTTACGTGTAACGCAGCAATTACATTTTGAAAATGTTTGTTTTAGAATATTTTCACCTAGACTTTTGGATTCTAAGTTTATTCAATCTTTTAGGGTTAATGTTCAGTTTAGGTATGTAATATTGCCCATGAAAAGTCTAACTTCACTTCACTATGATTATAACTGCTTATTTCTCATACCAAATACCGCAAAACTATTTTAGATAGCTGTTTAATTATTTAGATATTCGAGAGTGTGCTTTCATCTAGTGGGCGTAACCCACCAATCAAACCAGAAGCAAAAAGGCAATGCACCAAGAGCCACTATAGAAGCTAAGGGCCTAATCAGAGACAAAAACCTATAACCTATGGTGATGGATCAGTGATCAGAATCTCAAATTTGAATCTTGAATCTTAACAGTTAATCTATTCGATAGTGTTGTTCGCTTGGATTTTTTCGTGTAAATATGTCCAAATTATATTAAATTTTTAGAAACAAAAAATAGAGTTAAGTGTGTGGAGATCGCTTTTTACAAAAAAAAAAATGTAAAGTGCAGGTCAGTATATAAAATTTAAGAGTATGCCTTCTTTACGAAAAGTTCATATAACCCTATATTATCTAATATTATACTCGAATTAATTAAAGATAACGATTACGTTAACACAAAACGCATTCTTATGGCATCATTGTGACGTAATCATCATCTTTCCTGATATTTATTATATGTGATTGAATCTCAGACTAAAGAAAAGATGAACTTCGCTACTACTTTGTTCCGACAATTCTAAGCGGCGATATTAGGCAGGAACTAATATTATAATTCAAGGGAATAACTTATTGGAATATTTTTGAATACCACAGATAAACCAAGATGGAGAAAATGAGGAGTCTTTTGCACACCATAATTATCATTTTAGAAGTATTCCAGGAAAATACTAAAACCGCCGCAAAACACAAAGAACAACAGAAACCAAGGGAATTACAAAATGTCGTTGTATGGAGGCGGAAGTTCTGAAGCACCTGTTCAGAATCAGAGATGGAATGAAGTAAGACAAACATCGTTTAATTTTAAAGTAGAAAATATTACTGATGTGGCAAACGCGTCTAATAAGCAATGGACTCGGACTTGAAACCCTACTAAATATAAACAAGCGCCCTCTAGATGGTATATACTCATAAGCATCGCATCATATTTGAATGTAAAGGCGAAAAAAAGTGTTTCTGATTGATGTAGAGAAAATTGCAAGTTGAGAATTGAGCGAGACACTTTGCAAAATATAATACCTCTTCGTGTCCGTAATCGACTCTCATAATTCGAGGCCACTGCGGCCAGGGGTTGTCGCTCGCCCTCTGGGGGCCGGGCTCGGGTAAAATCTCGAAGGAAGTGATGGAGGCGGCCCCTTGCCTCAACGCGGTACCGATGCAGTCGTTGCCCGTGTCCCCGCCTCCAATGACGACCACGTGTTTATCTTTGGCGTGGGGACCGGCGTGACTGGCGCCCATTTGCTTCTTCTGCCAAATCTCCAAGAACTCCATCGCGAAATGGATACCGTTCAGTTGGCGTCCCGGAATCGGCAAATCTCTGGGCCAGGTGGCGCCGGTACATACGACGACAGCGTCGTACTGGTCGCTAAGGTCTTTCGCGGACACGTCTTTACCGACGTTGACGTTCGTATTGAAGGTTATACCCTCCGCCGCCAATAAGTCGACCCTTCGTTGGACCACCGCCTTGCTGAGTTTCATTGTGGGTATGCCGTATTGCAACAGCCCTCCGATCCGATCGTTCCTTTCCAGTACCGTCACCGCGTGTCCAGCTTTGTTGAGTTGATGGGCGCACGCGAGTCCCGCGGGACCGGAACCCACCACCACCACCTTTTTGCCGGTGCGCGACGGTGGCACTTGCGGGACTATCCACCCGTTTTCGAAAGCGTGATCGATTATGGCGCATTCGATGTTTTTAATGGTTACGCTGGGTTCCGAGATGCCGAGGACGCACGAGCCCTCGCAAGGGGCGGGACACACCCTGCCCGTGAATTCGGGGAAATTATTTGTTTGCAGCAGCTGGTTTAGTGCTTGGCGCCAGTGGTTTTGGAACACCAACAGGTTCCACTTGGGAATGATGTTTCCCAATGGACATCTAAAACGAATAAAATAATGACCGTTAGCAAATATTAAAATTAATATTAACAAACCAGCAGAGAACGTTTTATAAAAGCGCATTGCCCCGCTCATTTCGGTTACTTGAAAAGATACTCAAATCAGTTGACATTCATCGCCAAATCACTGATTTTTATGGTGAAAACATTATGAATGAATGGAAATGGGTTAGTGCCTATAAATATGGCTGCAGCAACATTCATGATGAGGAATGAAATTTGACTGTAAAGTGAAACAGAACAAACTACCATTTGTTTCTGGAAACGAAGAAGCATCTAGCGGAACAGCGCCATATCAATGATGACGTAGTGAAAACGACGGTGATACAGTGGCTATCCAATCAAGCGGACACTTTTTTGACAAATAGATAGTAGCCTAACCTTACTTTTGTTTATTATTGTGTTCATATTGCCTTTTTTCAGTTGTGGCGGGATGTGTAAAACTATATGGAACGGAAAAAAGAACAAAAAAATATATCATTCCACACATTTGTGCTTACCAAAAAAACAGAAAGCGGACTTATGCAACACCTAATTAAATGACAGTTGTAAAAAGGACAAGGCAGAGTACTTTAAGCTCTATCTTACACCTTGATGAATGCGGCATACAGGAAAAAATATTGCATATTAAAAAAATGTGGAACGACAATGCGTTACTCGTCTCCATGCACCTCGTGACGTCACAACCAATCGAAGAGTGTTTTTGTATGATTTCAAAATGGCGAAGAGGTAAGAGAGAGAGAGTAAATTATATTTTTGTATTTTTGATTTTCTATAATGTAACCGATTGTTTTTTAGAAGGAAATTGAAAAGTGTTTATGCCAATCTAAAAATAAAAATACTATATCATTCGTTAGCTCTGGTTAGTTGTATATATAAAATATTTTATTTCCCAACTCAATAAAACTCACATAAAAAAACAGTCAAACGGAATTCAGCTCCGTAATCATAACCGCGATACTCACGTAGAATAAAGTAAATGAGATTTTATCAATATTACGAGGAAGGTTATTTTGCGATATCGTAAGCAGGTGTTTTGAGAACGCAGATGGCGTGTGGCCCCACGTTCGGCCAAAGTAGGTCAGGGATGAATAAAAAGAAGTTATATAAACTAGTCGCTGCAAGCGGATGAAATGGGAATATGCGGAAAAAACAGAGATCATAAATGATTGTAGGTAAATAAAAGAAGATGTTAATGTATTAATGTGGTCAAAAGATAATTTGTTTGTAATTTTTCATTAAATGTAATTTGAATAAAGTTACTGTTAAAACAATTACCGCAAAAAAGATAACTTTGCCTTTAAAAAAATATATTGAAAACGCAAAATCAAATCACAAAGAACTGAAAATCGACACTATGTCAACAATTTTGAAGGTTATGAAATGTTAACACTGCACAACAGAAGAGTTATGACTGAGTCACTGCATCTTTTAATGTCCTAAATAAAGATATTTACCATTAAGAGTATCACTAGAACCAATTATCAATTGAAATCCCAAATTGTTACATTTTATAATCAATACCAAAGAAAAATAGAAATATTTAGTGATCGATTTTCTGTACTTTGTTATGTTGGAGTAACTTTTTAGGCAAATTGTAAAAAATGAGCCTCGAAGTTGATTATTGTAAATATAGCGAAGTTAGTGACCTTGTTATTTTGGACAAAACAAATTTCAAATTCATTTAATAAATACCCGTGCACGTTGGACTGGCAAAAGGGAACGCCGCAATCCATACATCTGGCCGCTTGCGTCCTCAAACCTTTCCTGACGTGCGGGAAATTATAAATTTCGTCCCAGTCCTTCATCCGTTTCTCCGCCGGCCGGTACACGTTTTTCTCGCGAGGATACTTCATGAAACCGCGCAACTTGTCCAAAGCTTTTTCCGCTTTCTTCTCTTCCGCCGCGTCGTCGTTGATCGTGTCTTCGATATCCTGTATTTTCGGTTCATGACTTCGTTGCTGCTCCTTTTCCACCGCAACATGTTCCGCGGCCATCTGCTTGAGCGCCCTCTGGTATTCGTACGGAAACACTTTGACGAATTCTTTCATCCTCGAGTCGAACTCTTTCAGAAGCTGTTCGGCGATTATACTGCCGGTAAGATCGAAAAATTCTCTCAACAATTGCTTAACTAGAGCAACGTCGTCTCGATCCTCGAGCTTACAAAGTTCCACCATTTCCATGTTGCATTTGGTTGAAAACTTCCCGTCTATGTCCCAAACGTAAGCGATACCACCCGACATACCCGCCGCAAAGTTTCGACCGGTTAAACCTAAAACCAAAAGTCAATCATTAGGTTGAAACTGTTTTTTTATTATGCAATGCGCGATACGTGAGCTACAGTCTTTTTTTTTTTAAGAAACTTCCACAGGCTACTATAACACTATTTGCAAAATTTATGTTGTCCAAAAAGATGTCAACATTTTCTTTCCGTCAAAGACAAAATTCCGTTCGATGTACCTAGAGTTTATAGCATTCCATGCACATGCGGCAAAGAATACATTATAGAGACCGGGGAAAACTATCAACTACGTTTAAAGAGCCTTTAGACTACAGCAAATAAAGTCATCAGCAGTCACCGAACACAACCACGACATTGGACATCAAATTTTATTCGATAAAGTAACATTCTTCTTCTAAAAAATGCGAGAATCTATACAAATCTATGTATAGATATTAGTCAGCCAAAGAATACCGTCAGAGAGTAACCGACAAAGGTATTGAACTCGGAGTTACTATTCTTCATAACAAATTAATGTTCACGGATCTAGAAGTATATACAGTGCAGTTCGGATATAGTAAACCCGCTTATTGTGAACAATCGATTATAATGAACACTTTTTGAAATACACTTTAAAAGTCTGAGAAGACAAATGTAAATTTTTATTGCTTATAGTGAACCCGGATTTAGTGAACTTTCGGATACAGTGAACTAAATTTCGTCACGATTAAGATACGTTTTCCGTTTTTAATGAACTTTTTCCGGATTCCCCCGGTAATTCCCGGGGGAATAAAATAAACTATTTCGGGTTGTTTAATGTCAGTTTTTTAATTTGATTCTAATGATTAAATAAGATTTTCATTGTTTTTTTTTTTCAAGTTTTACTCAGAAAAAAACTGCGATTATAAAAATTTAATTTATTTAAGAAAAAAGCAATGCCACAAAAATAAGTTTGACCCGAAAATTTTTCAAAAAAATATTTTAAACGGTTTTAGTAAAAATGAGGAAAAAAGTTTTTTGTTAATATCAACACCTTGTATGTCCAACATTTGGGGTCCTCAATGGATATTAATTTTTTTTCTAAAAATCATCCAAGAAATCACACCCTGTATGAAACAAAATTAGATAATGTAATATCCAATAGGTGTACTTGCTTTACTTATCCAAGAGAAGAAGCTTTGTTTTTCCGGTTACACACAAGAATTTAGCGTATGAAGAAACGTTAATTAATTAATAACAGCATAAAATTATTATAAATGATTTTAATTGTTTCAAATGTACCAGTTAACATATAATAAATTTCATAGAAATCCAAATAGGGAAAAATAATATAAACCCGTCGCACTCTAAATAAAATTTGCCTCATAAGATCAATATTGGTTGCATTACAATAGATGGAGTTCAATAGCGTCTACACAGATGGACATCTTTTTGCCTCACCCTTATATGAATGATTTTTTATTTAAATTAATTTTTTAATTATGCAAAAATACTCCTTAAGAGACATAAAAATAAACAAGCACTCACCTAAGATTAAAACAATCCCTCCAGTCATGTATTCACAGCCATGATCACCTACACCTTCCGCTACAGCGACGGCTCCGGAATTTCGTACCCCGAAACGCTCTGAGGCAATGCCTCTGACATAAACCCTTCCGGTTGTCGCACCATATAGACAGACATTTCCGACAATTACATTTAAATGTGATTCAAACGTCGAAGTTTTCGGAGGATAGATAACAATAGTACCACCTGAAAGACCTTTGCCTATGGGATGTTATTATTAGTTTTGTGAATTCTAATAGGTATGCAAACATTACCAACGTAATCGTTGGCGTCTCCCTCTAGGGTGATATTGACTCCTTTGGCCAGGAAAGCTCCAAAGCTTTGCCCAGCCGACCCTACAAGTCTTATATTGATGGATCTACCGTCTGGTAGCCCCTCCTCGTTGTATTTGCTAGAAAAATATGATGTAACAAAGGGAACCGGGAAATTACATCGTTACATACCAAGAGATGTGGTAACTTAAAGTGGATGAAAAGGCTCGGTCCTCATTCGTAATTTTCATATCAATATCAACTGAATTTTGAGTTCCGTCAATGACCGGCTGAGCTTTACTAATGAGCTGGTTGTCGAGGCGATTCTCGAGTTGGAAATCTTGAGTTAGAGAGCCGCCTTTGATATTAACGCCCGGTCTTAACGCTAAAGCGTTTTGCAATATGAGACTGAGATCGAGCATTTTCGCCTTAGGCGTGCCATTATCGACTTCTCTAAGCAAGTCTGTTCGTCCGACCAATTCCTGATATGTTCGAACCTAAAATGTTCCTATCTCCATTAGTCTATTGGCTACGAAAACACTATCTACAATAAAATATGCAAAAGAGCAAAATAACAATGGCTAATATCTCGAGGTACTTACACCCAGCTTGGCCATGATTTCTCTAATTTCTTCGGCGAGCATAAACATATAATTGATCACGTGTTCCGGTTGACCGGTGAATTTTTTGCGAAGCACCGGATCTTGCGTGGCTACCCCAACGGGGCACGTGTTTAAATGACACTTTCTCATCATGGTACATCCCATTACGATTAATGGTGCCGTACTGAATCCAATCTCGTCGGCTCCCAAAATAGCCGCCACAACAACATCAAAGCCTGTAAAACAATTATTAAAAGTTTGCTGATGTGAGGTAGATCGATTTTCTTGTACCGGTTCTTATTTGACCATCGGCTTGAAGCACGATTCTCGATCTTAGATTGTTCATGACCAAAACCTGATGAGTTTCGGCAATGCCCAGTTCCCATGGCAAACCGGCGTTCTTAATACCGGTCCAAGAACTGGCACCCGTACCACCGTCATGGCCAGATACCACGATGTGTTCGGCTTTGCCTTTGGCGACACCGGAAGCGACCACGCCTACCCCAACTTCGGAGACAAGTTTCACCGATATTCGAGCTTTGGGATTCGCGCATTTTAGGTCGTATATGAGTTCTGCCAAATCCTCTATCGAATAAATATCGTGATGAGGAGGCGGGGAAATTAAACCAACTCCGGGTACGGAGTGACGGGTTTTCGCTATATCCGCTGAAACTTTATAGCTGAAAACATTTTACTTCTGTTACTGCATTGCAACACGGTCATAAATTGTTTAATTTCTGTTTTAAGATTACAAATCAATGCTAGGAGGAAATGTACCGACTGTCCAATATATATGTCCTTTTTATCCTTATGAAGAATAGAAGGAATTTTGATTTTGATTTGATTTTGATGACCCCACCCTGATGTAGAATCGATTTAGTCTATTTATTTGGTACATGGTTATGGTACAAAACTAACCAACAATACGGTATCAGTATGACTGTTATGATTCAGGCTATCTTCTGTCTAGAATGAATTGGAAGTTTTCGTAGCTGGTGTGGTTAAAAACAAATACTACCAAACAATAAATTTAAATATTCGACACGACTGCAGATATTTGAATGGAACACTGTATCAATATTTCAACTCCAATTGCCTAATTGGTTTTTTTAAGACATAAGACGATTTGACATCATATATCGGGCACCCGGAACAACAAAAATGGTTTGGTTTCGAAAAAATTTAACGACACTCACCCAGGCAATTCGCCACCTTCGCCAGGTTTGGCGCCTTGTGCCATTTTAATCTGCAAATCGTCAGCATGAGCCAAATACGAAGAAGTTACACCGAACCTACCAGAAGCCACTTGCTTAATGGCCGATCTCTTCTGACTATCCAAATACCTTTCGGGATCCTCACCCCCCTCCCCAGTATTACTTTTGGCGCCTACTTTGTTCATGGCCACTGCCAAAGTTTGGTGCGCTTCCAGGCTTATAGAGCCGAAACTCATCGCCCCAGTTGCGAAGCGCTTCACGATTTCGGCGGCCGGTTCTATTTCGTCCAGCGGTAAAGATTTTTCGATTGTTTTTAGTTCAAAACGACCGCGAAGCATGCAGTCGCGGACAGACTGCATGGTCGCGTCGCGGAATTTCCCATAAGCCGATTTGTCTTTGTTTATTGCCGACTCCTGAACGACAATTATTTCGAATGAAGTATTTTTTATGGATCGAAATGCAAAACTGCGCCGGACACTGTTAAAAAAATTGTCGAACGTTTTCCGACATAGACAGGGTGGCCAAGCTTTCCGCGACAAATAAATGACTTTGATTTTCAAATTCGAGGCCTGCAAACCTCATTGTGTCTATTGACGGGACTGATAATTTTTCCTTTTCCACATTTTAAAAACGAAATCTACTTCAACTACATTATATAAATGTCCAATCCGTTCGCCGCTAGTCTGCAGCTTCCACGAAAATTGGATAAAAAAATAAAAAGTTCGATTGGGCAAGAAATCCATTTTCCAAATTCAACTGATACCTCAGGCCCCCTTGACAAAATACTTTAAAAATCCTATCTCTAGTTATTAATTTAAAAACTTTGCGGTTGGTTAAGTGAACAAATCATTTTCTCATAGAACTTTAACAAAATAAATGGACATAAAATTCAGTAAAATAATATCAAGTGTTGTCTTTTTTTAACATTCAATTCGTAGTAAAATATTGGTCAATCTTAAAGTTGGTACACATAACACAACTTATACAGTATCTTGAAAGTTTCAAATAAAACCTTTGAAAATCCCAAACTCAAACATTTTTACATTAGTCTCTTTTTGAAAGGCATCAAGTAAAAACTTACTTATTTTTTCTAGCAAATAATATGAGATCAATTAAAGATATATACTTCCATTGGTGAAAGAAAATAAGTTGACTTTCAAATAACCTTGAAGTTGGCATATACTACTACTAGACAGGTCTTGACTGCTGGTGATACAGCAACTTATTACGAAATACCAATGCAACTTGCATTGCATCAGTTTTTGACGTAGTAAAGTTAATATGTAATCTAATAGCTATATAGAGCAACTAAATAGTAGTTAGTGTGTAGAGTTTTAAAATTTCAAGTATTTATGTAATTATATTGAATGAGTAATTAGAAAGTGGTGGACACCCTGATTATCTGCAAAATTATGAGTTACAATTTTTTTTTTTTAATTTCTATAATTTTTATTATACACCGTCGTAGACTAGACAGACACATCATTTTTTAGCAATTTTCAAGGAGGAAAAAATTTGTTCGTATTTTATCTGCATTTCTAAAGCATCTTATCTAAAGTAAAAAAACCAATTGGTAATTTTACTACTATTAAAATTTTTGAACAAAAAAAAAGAAATTCTTTATTTGCTGAAATCTAATAGCTAAATGCGAGTAAATTTTGTGTGAACCACTGTACAATGCATCTGTTTAAAAATGTGCTGCAGCACTGACCAAACATGTTAGCCATGTAGATACAATAGCGATGAAAATTATTCGTTATACACTTTAAATGCCAGTCCATTTTTATTTTGCAGATATGGAACTCTGAAAACACTAAACAATTTTTGTCTACCAGTGTCCGATGTCCAGCAAACTAGACATGCATTTCTCACATGGTAAAATGTAAACCCCTTCGAACACGTTTGAAGTACCTACCTGCAGAGCTGCAATACTGGCCGGTTCATTTATATGTTTCTCGCCGCCAGCTCTCCAGTGGTATTTTCCAGCATCTCGTAAAATGAGACTGTCACAGCCAACCCGAAAGGCATTCTGGTGCCTTTCAAAAGCCTCAACGGCCAACATATCCAAAGTAACCCCGCCTATTCTAGACGGCGTGCCTTTGAAACACTTATCTATAACGTCTGCGGCCAAGCCTACCGCTTCGAAAATTTGAGCTCCTTTATAAGATTGGAGGGTGGAGATACCCATTTTGGCCATCACCTTACTAATACCTGCAGGAGACAATTGGGTGCAGATGGAGAAATATCAAACTAAAGCTGCAGCTATTTCATTACTCTTGCAAAATGAAAACCCCAGAAAGAACATGAAAACCGACTTGTCTCCCCGCTGTTTTGGTTAGTATATATTTTCTGAAGTGGGGACAACTGGTTCTAACCACAACATTGTTTTGTAATAGTAGAGGATGCAAACCAAGATCGACCTTCACGATAGTGTCAACCAGATTTTTCACCGGTGTATTTACCAAACGAAACTAACTTCCGCACTAGTCTTAAAATAAAAGTAATTTAATTATACATAATATAGTATAAGGTTGCCTCAAAAAATTTGATGATAGATGCTATTTGTAAGACATTTAAATTAAAAAATTCGGAGCAAGTGAAGTCCAAGACAAAGAAAGACTGTACATACTTACTTCTCGTCGTAGAAAAGGATGCAGTGCTAGGATATAATTAATTGACTATAAGAGCAGGGTTTTGGAGCAGATAAGTTTTTAATAAATTGTAATAAATTAGCTTTTGATAAACGCTTTAGAATAAATAAAATATGAATTCTTAAAAAAAAATTGTTAATCCATAACTAGCAGAAAAATGAAAAATTCTTATTAAACAATATCTATAATGTAGTACAATAAGTGATCATACAAATAACAGTAATAAATTATTCGAGATCAGAATCGCCGGAAGTTCCATCGTTTCCCAAGTCAGAAAAATCGTTTTCATTTTCTTTTTCTGTCATCTCTAAAATATAATCTAATTTTAAAAGCGTCTGGTCTCTCCCAAATAATACTGCATAAAATTTCTATACAATTTTAATCTTCAGAGTTCATGAAAGCAAAGATGGCAGTGAAAAAATTTTCTGATAAAAAAAATTAACAATATACTTACTTCAAGATTTTTAACAAATGCACAACGGGCCCATTTGGTGGCCTAAATGTTTGGACGCCCGCGGGGGGCCGACTAGTCGGGATTGATTGACAAAACAGTGCAACTATTAAAATGAACTTACCTGTTTGACCGCAGCTACCAGGTAATTGGGACCAAAAAAATGGTCAGCTACTATGGTGTTGTTATTGTATATAGTATATACTTTTCACTGGAGTTACGTTTGTTTGGTAGACACAGTGGTGAAATTAAAACAATATGTAATTATTTTAAATGTTAATTAAAAATAATCTTTTATTTGATAGAATGTCCTTTTCATTTTGAAGATCGATCTTAGCTCCGGTCTTAGACTATAACACAATAAGTAAAATTGTCTATTTAGTACGTTAAGATTTTGGTAAAAATCAAAAAACAGCCATATTTTAAAACGAGCCTATGAGAAATCTTTGTTTTCCGAAAAACACATAAAATGATATATACCAAAGTGTAGCTCTGTTGTTATTATACAGTGTGAATGAATACTACCCAGGCCCATTTTTGTGAAAAATTGAGACCGCGTCAGCGATTTAAAAAAGTGCAATAACTAAGAAGGGAAGTTTATTCTCAAGATTTCACTAGAACTAAACAGCCTTAAGCCTTAATACTAACTATCACTGAATTGTGAATGTTTTATGAAGGATAATTATTTCATCAAAACTTACCGGTCTGCATTGCTTGCGCATAGTTCTGAAATATAGCGTCGTCGCTAAGACTTGTGTCCAGCACCCCTTGGTCGCGAAGGGACGAGGCCAACTCTAAAGCTAAGTATGGGCATATGGCGTCCGCGCCATACCCTAGAAGCACGCAAATGTGGTGGACTTCTCGAGCTTCGGCCGTTTCCACGATCAAAGCCACTTTCATTCTGTGCCGAGTTTCTATTAAGTGATGATGAGTCGCACCTACAAAAAACATGTTAGGTACGTAATGTAAATTAACGCCGAAATGTACCCAGAGCGAGAAGACCGCTGATCGGTACGCGCTCTTTGCTTGCTAGTCTGTCCGATAGAATAACGACTTGGTTGGATTTCGCAGCTTCTTCAGCCTCGTCGCAAATTTGCTGCAGTCGTTTCTTAAACCCGACCACGCCTTCCTCAGCTGGGAATGTAATATCGATAACGTGAGAAGACCAATTGCGGTGAGATAATTGTTTAAACATCTCCAAATCGGCAATCGAAATTACTGGATTTTTAAGCCACAGCCTGTGCACCTGTTTGGCGCTAGGCTCCAGGATATTGGCCTCGGGACCTATAGGGCATTGCAGGGACATCACGACCTTTTCACGGAAAGGATCGATCGGTGGATTGGTTACTTGCGCGAACAGTTGCTTGAAGTACTCGTACACGATAGGTGCGAAATTGGATAAACACGCCAACGGTGCGTCATTACCCATGCTGCCCAAAGCCTCCTTCCTAATAATAAAGAGACGACGGCAAGTTTTTAATTGGTATCGTTCGATCTCGGTACTCACTTATTGTTAATCATCGGCAGCAGTAGCAAATGCACAGTTTCGGTAGAGTATCCGTAAAGAGGAAGCCTTTTATCAGTCAAGCCGCTAGGCTCGTATTTGGGCTTGGCAATACGACCGGCATCTAAATGAGCCTTCCTCAATTCTTCCATAGAAATCTGAACAAAACATTACCAACTAAACATAGGAGGACGCCGGGGATATTTAATGCGAATCATGCGGCATTAAAACCAAGCAAAAAAAAAATCTGAGAAATTTGCTTACTTTTGATAACTGTAAAAGTAAAACATTGAAACTGTGGGTGGTCCCACATGTTCTCAATTTCTGGATTATGGCAAAGGCAGTGGAATTATAACTATATCGTCGTACTTTGTATAAAATTTATACTCAGTGTAGAAAGTAATCGCTACATTTGTAGCAATTTTATTTTAGTATTTATAAAAAATTGCACACTGTAGCTTCAAATAGGACGCAGTCATATTTTTTACATTTATGTATAGATGCGCCGTTTATCTCAGAAACTATAGGCGATGGAGCCTAAAGTTAAAATCAAAAAGTTAAATAAGGTATTACACACCTTCAATTTATTTTAATGTTGTATATACAGAGTGTTTCATTTTTCGTCGGCGAGTATCAACTTTCCTCTTCCTTCTTTCTTCTATACAAAATTCCGGACACATTTCGGGTATAATGTGCTACATTTAAGCCTAACCTTTATTGACATTTTTAATTTTTTATGACAAAAATGACATTTGCAAGACGTAAAATATCCGCCAATTTTTCATTCGGAAGCATTTATTGTGTCACTTGAGTAAATTTTGTTATATACAAAGGACTCGAATAACAGATATTAATAAAGGGTACGCGAAAAATAAGATTAAAAATGAAATTTTTTAAAATAAAAGTAGATAGTTTCCATTAAAAAAAAAACTTTTTTTTTAATGGCAATTTTATGTAAAGTTGTATATGCCCAATATTTTTACTTTTTGAAATATTCCCTTTTAAACATTTGTCTATCGCAAATAAAATGTTGTCATATAAGTTCAGTTAGCGTTTAAACAAAACAATTGCTAGAACACGTGTTTTGTTGTTGATTACTATCATAATTCAAATATTTTTTGACACAGTCAAACAACAAATGCTGCGGAGTGCAGAAATGTAATTTTCTGCATAACATATTAAAAATATCAAAAACGGTTAGGTATAGGAGATTATACACAAAATATCTCTAGAATTTTGTATAGAATTCGAAAATTAAGTAACACACTACTATACAAAATTATAATAAATAATATAAATAATAATACATTACACAACAAGTTTGGAAATAAAAAAACATATTTTTGAATTCCAATTATCTCTAAAACCATAATTTCATGGTATATTTTATTTTAATTCTTAAAATTGTTTTGGTTCATTTTGAATCGATTCCCCAAGCACGTAATTTAAAATAAACTAAAAATTAAGTTTCTATGGATCACTAATTCTGAAAGAAACATGGTTAATTGGAATATTTTTTTTTATTATCGCACGCGCCTAACTAGGATATGTTTTACCTTGAGGTCGAATATATTTTTGAGGTGCGACGATAATTACCAATCTTATTTCAGCTATCCCATATTTAGGAAATTCTAAATTCTAAATATGAGGGTTTGCTGTTGATAATGCTGCTTTAACATATACTTTCCACTTAGTTTTACCCTATACTATATTAAGTGTGTGTTTATTATTTTCTCTATTTCATCCACATTATACTTTTAAATATTTATTAAGAATATTTATATTATTATTAATTATTATTTTATCTATTTCCTTCTATTTTAAGAGACTATAGTAACTTCACTCCTGCTAATCCTTTAATTACATCAATTCATATTCATATTTCTGGCCCTGTCAAAATTAACTTGAAGCTTTAAAGGGGCAGAAAGAAAATGATGAATTAAAAACTTATATGCAACGTACAAACGAGAGACTTACCTACACATAACAAAAACAAAAAAAACACTTTATTTCAATACTAAACATATTTTAAGCATGTTCTATAAATTTAAAAATTGCTACAGCGCAAACTTTGCATTAAAAAATAATTAGCGAACCATAAATTATGTTCTATATATAGACGCAGATAAACAAAAACCAACCTATTAATGTACCAACAAAAACCACAAAACTAAGCATTAAAAGGATCGCAACTCCATAATCTACCAAAAAAAAGATCTATTGCTGTTGCACACAAACTAAGTCACTCACCATCTGATGAATAGTCCAATCACATAAGAGAATAAAAAAATATCAAATTAATATTTAAATAGAATATAATACACATCCACAGAATAGGTCTGAATGATATTATATTATGAAATTACCTGCTCCTTTAACCATTCAGAATGGGGCCTCGACTGAGCTATTTGGCTCTTCAATTCAATATCTCCGATTACAGCTTTGCCAACGGTATCAACGAGTAACATTCGTCCGGGTTTTAAGCGGCTCTTGTGCAACACATTGGCCGGATCAACATCATAGACGCCGACCTTAAATAATTTATCATAACTACCATTCCAAATCTACGGCTGCCTGGTTAGTTTACTACCTCGCTGGCCATGATCATCATATTGTCTTTTGTTAAATAAAATCTGGACGGTCTCAACCCATTTCTATCCAAAATGGCGCCGATGTATCTACCGTCGGTAAAAGATATCAACGCGGGTCCGTCCCACGGCTCCATGGTACAAGACGCCCAATGGTAGTAGTTCTTTTTTTCTTCGGTCATCGTCGGATCGTTTTGCCACGCCTCTGGCACCATTGTCATGACGGCCTGATGACCAAACGTAAAACAAACGCTAACCCAAATTTTAAATTTAGAATATTACCTCTGGCAACTTCCTTTGACCGGCGTGTACCAGAAATTCCAATACGCAATCTGCCGATCCGCTGTCGGATAAATTAGGTTCTACTACTGGGTACAGAGATTTGAGCTTATCTCCGTATATATCGCTTTTCATCACACCTTCTCTGCCCTTCATGCAATTAACATTTCCACGAAGGGTATTGATCTCACCATTATGGGCCAGCATCCTCAGGGGATGAGCCCTTTCCCAACTCGGAAAAGTATTTGTGGAGAATCTGGTATGAACCAGGGCCAGGTAAGTATCATAAAGCGGATCCTTCAGATCTGGGAAATAAGTCCACAACTGATCGGATGTCAGCTGACCTTTGTAAACGATCGTCCTTCTGCTGAGCGAACAGATGTAGAAACGTTTATCTGGCACCCGAATTTCGTGACTCGCCCTTTTACGCAGAACAAATACCCGTCTTTGCTGTTCCTCTTCAGACTCCTCTGGAGTCGTTCCTTTCAGAACAACAAAAACCTAAAATACAGTAAAAGTTGTACAACAAGAGCGGTGCGTGGTTGAACAGCATACTTGTCTCATAAACGGTTCAGACCTTCTGGCCACCGCCCCTATGGTGGAACTGTCGGTTGGTACGGTAAGCCAAGCCAACACTGGCAATTCCAGTTCCGTAGCCAGGGCAGAGAATTTTTGTTCCATCTCTTCATGGCTGGCCTTATCCAGGAAAAAGATACCTGTCGCATACTGACCATATGGTGGTAGTTCTACGCCTTGTTCCCTGAAAGAACGTATATTACAAACGCGGAAAATGCTATCACGCTCTAATGGGATCACAAATATAGAACACCTATGAATTTGGCTCTGGCTCAATTGTCGAAAAGATGAATTTGAATAAAACCGCTTTGTTACTGAGGGGTAAAATGATATACACAACACTGGTACATAATAACCGACAAATATTTTATGCTTTTTACAAAACTTCTGGATTCTTGCTAACGTTTCCATCACTTACCACATATCAAAAGTTCTAAAGAAATATAACGTCAAAACCAGATTTATCACTTCTCCAAAAATCTGTAGACGTCTTCGATCCGTCAAAGACAAAATTCCATTTGAGATGCTAGCAGTTTATAGCATCTCAAATATAGACAGGACGAAAAAAATGGACTACGCTCGAAAGACATGGCTTAAGTCTAAGACAAGTAAACTCATCATAAACTCATAAAACTAAAATTCTTACGTGTAATCAATTCTTCTACCAAGGAAAAGTCCAAGAGTCTATAGACATTTATGAACAACCTAATAATCTTAACCGCGGCTCAGGTCTTTAACCGTCACCAATATAGGAGTCCGCCCACCTCAAACGTTAGCAAGTTCGAGTCAGTAAAAACCGACGCAGGAGGAATCCAGAAGTTTTGGAAAAAGTATTACAGTAGCCTGTGGAAGTTTCTTCGAAAAAATAAATATTTTATGTTTTCGCAAGTTGCATTTCACAGATATCAGTTTTTTCTTTTCTGCGACCAAAAAAAATTCTGTGGCACAGTTTATCCAACATTAAATTTAAAATAATAATAATAATAATAATAATAATATTTTGTGTGACACATACTTGAAAGATGTCTTTCAAGTAAGGAGTGTTCATACAAAACCAGGTATGTCCATAAAAATGAATTTCGAGCAAAATATGCACTGGTGCACACATCTGATTTAGACTGAACCATGCAAATTTTAATTGCTTTGTTCTGTTCAACCGTTCAACTATTCATATTTTATATAAAAAGTGAAGATCTCTGGATTAATGTGACCTTTTCAAAATTAAAGTGATCTTGAGCGAAATTGAATATCGACAAATTGCCAGAATTGCCAATTTGAAACTACCCTTTATTTTTCTTTTTTTTTAATTGTTCATTTTCATTTGTTTGTGAATACATTGGTTGGATTGTTCACTTCTATTTTATATACCCATGAGCTTGGTTGAAACATACTCACCACGCCACGAACAAATTCTTTTCATGACCATAACTTAATTTCAAAGCATTTAAAAAACGCATCAGGACAGAGTTTTAATGGTACACAATTAAAAATAAATGTACATTAAATCACTATCACTAAAGTGCCTTTTGCGCTTTTGTTTTGAAGTAAATAGAGAGGGAATCTTTTTGTGGTTCGCAAGGTATTAAGTCAAACAAAAATAACACCTATAACGCAGTTAATTGCGGCGTGGTGCATCCGTAATGAATGTTAATTAACTGTTTGCTTATACCGATGTTGATTTAAACACGTACTGAAAACACATCAGGATAAACCTCAAATTATTGGTTTGCCACTAAATGGTTAAGTGCACGTGAATTTCAACTCCCACTGTCGCAACTTTCGTCCCGTATCGTATACTACAGGATATGTGGCAGATTTTGTTATTTTGATAGTTATTAAACAAACATCCTCTAACTTGCTAAAAATTGCTACACGCAAGCGCCTAGCTTGTATCGTTCAATATATTTTTGTCGCCCACAGATAGTAATCGATTTTCTTTTGGCACGTTAGAGCTCGTTTGGACTTTGCTTATAAATTAATTCTAAAAATAATCCTAATATTAGCATCCATTAAAACGGTTTTTTAACAAACTTCCTACGTACCTTTTTATAACAAAAATTAGAGAATTTTTTTTTGTTTTCTGTTTAGATAAAGGCTCCGTCACAAGTCATTAAGAATGCAATTAGTTCGGCAGATCGAGAAAATAACAAATTAGCAGCAAAGAAACAAAAAGCCATATAAACAAATCTATTATCGATTACTAACCAAACTTTCGTTGTTTTCTATTGCTACCAGGGTCATACTGAATTAGACTTGTGAAATAGGTATATACAGTGATAATGGGTAAATAAAATTGTCCTTGATCTCCTTTTAAGACCAGTATTTCGGCTAGATTGTCATGGGGCCCAAACTAAATTTAAATACACGTCTAACAATAACGATCTGACGAAAATTTTTAATAAAAATAAAAGGAAACACACTAAAGTGAATAAGTTTTTCGTCGAATCTACAATGTAATACTGAAAATAATTGTGACAGCCCTTCTTGTGTTCGCTTAAATTATTGTGTTATTTTATTAAGCACCAACCATTAAGGATAACAATAAAAGGACAATCAATATTAAGATGCGAAATAAAATATCAATTAGTATTGAGAATATTATTTAAAATCGCAATCCTTACATCAACAAATCCCATACCCCAATTTTTTGTTAATGTCAATTAAAATTGAAAAAAAAAGTGTTATTTGATGATCATTTTTTAACTTTTAATATATAACTTAATGTACAACATTTTGCAAACTACAATGGGCGTAAAAAATACACAAGCACAATACACAAATATTTTTTAAATAAATTTCACGTATTTTAAAATATACAGTACTTAATTTCTTCACTTTCTATACCAGAAAAATCTTGCGACTCGACAAGAGTTCTCGGCGATATAGTTTTCATATTGTGCCTTATCTTAATACACATCTCTAACCTTTGATGGTACTAGGTATAAACCTGGGAAAATAACTTCTATCCAATGACAAACTTAAGATTAACATTTTCACACACAAGGGGCCGATCTGATCGATAAAATTTAGAATCAAATAAACCTTGACCACACTATCTGAACGAATAACCAATATTGGAAAAAAACAATGCGTGAAAAGAAAGAAGATTGAAGAAATTGATTGAAAACATGCGGTTTGAAATTAAAATACTGACTTGGTATATAATTAAACTGTCACAAGGAATGGGGGTGACCTCGTTGTACCCTGAATGCATTATGGGAAAACTCCAAGACATGTTGCATTTGGTCCCAAGATCTATATGTTCTTCCTAATGAACATTTAAATTGAACCTTATCATAAATCCAAAAAATTATTCGCTGGATGGATGAGAGTAGGTCAATACTCACTCCTCTATTACGGATTTAAAACATTTTTTTTTTGCTTTGGAGTGTTCAGTTCTAAGACTTTTTACGGGCTTAAACCAATATGGTTTTATTTATTCATATGTAATTACATTTTCTTTTTAGAGCATACTACACACAAAAACCATTTGCTTCACTTGTAATGCCAATATGAATCTGATCTCTATGTTACAAGACCAAAGTTAAAAAAAACAACCAAAAACTAACAAATTAGTCAAATCAGTCCCAGTAGGCGAAGCCCTAGAGGGCACAATGATCAAGTAATACTGGAACTATTTAACTATTTTAAATTTTAGCTAGAAACTCCCAGTTTTTTAAGTTAAAAGAAACACTCGCTTGTCGCCGAGGAATTGCATTGACAAGCAAGAGTGGCCGTTTTTATCATGGTTTACGTGACATGGGCGCTTTCAATTTAAATTGGCCGCACCGGCGACTTAGTACGTTCGAGCATATGGCTGGCGTATATACTCACTTAAGTTTCGCGGCGTAAAATTGATGTGGTATGGCAGTCAATACTCCTGCACCATCACCTGTATCGTTATCGCAGGCGCACGCGCCACGATGGTTCATGGAAATGGCGAGACGTTGGGCGTCGCGGACGATTTTATGATCGCGACGCCCATCGATGGCCACAACAAAACCGACGCCGCATGCCTCACGCTCTTGAGACGGGTCGTACAGGCCCTGCGCACCGGGGGCCTGCCACGGTTGGGCCATTTAATCGCTGAAAAGAACATAAAAGTTCATACAAAAACTACAATTAACCCAAATATATATATTTTTTAAAATTAGAGCTTTATATGTATGGTAATTCCTAGATTTCGTTATATTTTTACAGCAGAGGACTGTGTTCCGATCTGTATTACACTGCGTAAATCCCTGCACTCTTCACAACATTCTATTTTTCGATGTAGGTTGCAACTTTCCTTTGCTAATGATCATATACTTATATATACTGTTAGACTCCCATGCGCTTAGAACAACCGTCAAAAGCGGTGCTGTTTTCCCAACTTCTTTCGTTTGTAGAATTTTAAAAGACATTTTTAGTTTACTTCTGATCTTTACCGTTTGACATTTGCACAAAATAGTTTCCGTTTACTTTCAGTTTCATACCACTTACACAAATGTTTTTATAGACATCTTTTTGGAAACTTAAAAAATAGGTATTCCAAAATCACCTTAGCTTTTATTGCTAGAACTACATTGCTGTAAAATACCTAGGTAAGTATTATATAACTTTCTAAGGTGTTAAATATTACTTAAAAGCCCATAGAACAGTATCGTTTTTTTTTAAGCATTTTTTTATAGTTTTTCGAATTGACCTAGATAAAAAAAGAAGAATATCGCATTTTAAGCAATATTACTGATATTTTAAAACATATTTCTTCAAAAAAATGAGATTAAAACATTTTTGTTTTGAACTTTTTGTTAAAATTAATTATGGAGAGTTACAAGTAGTTATGGAGTAAAATTTTTATAGGATTTTATAAAATAAATAATGAAAATATGGCCATTACTATTATAAAACACAAAATATTAATTTGACGTGTTAGGAACTGCCTAGTCGGCTGCAAATTTTTCAACAAGTGAACAGGATGAATAATTCCACAATTATACCACTCTGGTTTTAGTTAGTTGAGTTAGTATAAAAAAATTAAATTTCAAATTTTTAGTTCACTTTCACAATAGTATATACTTGAACCTAATTTATTAGGGATTGCCCCAACTTGGATAAACAGGGTTTAAGGAATTAAAGAGCAAAACATTAACCACACAGATATCATTAAATTAAACAATTAAGTCAAGGTCAGAACGATTAAGGTAAAATAACAAATAAAAAAAAACATTGCGCAAAGCTGATTAAAAAAATTAGGTCACTGACGCCGGTATTATCTATCTATTTCTATTCATAAAAAAACGATTGAAATTGAGAAAGTCATATTTAAACGTTAATTTCAATTTCATCTTATAGACAAGTATTGTACATTTGATAATTTGCATTTATTTTGCCTACCCTATTAATTTATAGGAGTGTTAATGTAGGAGGTTCAAGGCTGCACTGCAATAATTCTTATGCAGATTTATTAAAAAAGATGAAGTCTGTATTTTATTTAGTTTTTTATTTTCTTTAGTTTAGTACCTCACATATAATGCAGGCAGGTATTTATTGATAAACTTTACATCATAGGTAAACATAAACCATTCGGTGTGATGGAGATAGATTTAATCTAATCGATTTGAAATTAGCGGAAAATTTATTGTTTTGATTACATTTTTGCCTTACAGCCAGCTCGTGCAACTTCGATCTTCGTAAAAAAATCCAAAGACGAAAAATATGCACGGAGGAACTGATGACCCTGCTTAATGGTTTTAATTAAGTCTTTGGCAGAGTTCCTTAGAAGCAAACAAATAAAAGTAAATAACAGAAGAGAGAAATACCCATTCAAACTGCATTACTGGCACTTTTTTATAATGATAACCCAAACCACAATACAACAAAAATTAACTACGAACGTTTTCGCAACATGTTCTCGGAATTTTGGCTGGAATCGTGGACTTTATCGAGCGATTCCACTCGAAATGTGAAAAATAAATGATTAGGGATTTATTTACAATCAGGCAGATAGTACGTTTTATAATAAATATATATGGCGCCAAACTTAACGTAAATAAACTCTGTGAAGAAAATATCCGACAATAGTTATGACCCACGTCCATCTAGTTTATGTTAATTCGGTTCTAATGATCATTTTGAAGTGACAGTATCGTTACCGACTGGTCACTCTCTCACCTGCATATTCAAATTAAATTATAATCAATGGCCACCAGCTGTTATTACCAATTCGACTAGCAGTTAAAATTATCTCAATAAATTAACGCTAAAAAAATCACCACGGTAGAACTAAGCAGTTGTTCAACCTTATTAAGTGAAGTCAGATTATTGGGTTATGCTATTATTGTTATTATATCCAAAAAACAATGAAAACTCTACGAAATATTTCATTCGCAGGTTGATAACACGGATAGTATATTGAATCGTATTGTTTTAATTCAAAAACTTAAAATAATGTCGTCAGAAATACTCATGCTGTACCGTAAGCGAAAGAAGACAATATCGGCATGTCAATAAAATATAACATTTGTTGAACAAATTGAGATTCATTAATTTCTTTTTGCAACCTTTGTTTGAAAATATTTTACCGTTATTGTCACGTAAGTTATAATAATTTTAAAAAGAAAAAGACTTCGGTGAATAAATTACGTTTTTTCTTTATTATTTCAACAATTCACTTATAATAACAGATAGAAATCAACGTTCTAAGATATCGTCTCGAGTCGCCAAATAGAAAACATAATAATTAATTATCTAAATAAATAATTGGATCGACGCTGAAATGAGTCAGATATTAACAAGTTTTATATATGACATTTTAACAAAATTGTATCATTAATTTTGTAATCCCGTCTCATAAGTAGTAGTCTAAAGGTTCAAATTTAAATTTAGTCAGTATACAATGAGCGGTGGTGGTAGAAACAACGTTGTAATAGGCGACAAAAAATCAATGTGTGGCAACGTTGCTTCCTGCAAAATCGTATCGCAAATTTTGTACCTTCCATTCCGAACTAGTAGTCTAAATGTAAAACAAGTTCTAAAAATTTAGCATTTAATTTAGTTCAATTAAACACAAGAATCGGAAATATTTTTAATTTAGGGGGAAATTAAATCCAAAGATTAGGAAACACAGGCTTCCTTTTGTACCTGTTTTGGAATGTAATAGAACGGTGCGAGACGAGATTGAAATTTGACGTGCAAATAATGAATAATTAAATACAACTCTAAAATTCCTCTACGAGATTCATTTCTACTCAGAAATATTTAAAATAAAAACAAGCTGACGCTGAACTAATGGATATGGAATAATTATTAGTAGAGTATAGTGAAAGAAAAAGATTATTTCTTATTTCTTTCTTATTTTTTGATATTGGCTTGAAAAGTGTCTACAAATTGGCTCTGAAAAAAAAGGAATCCTTGCCCAGGTTTCATAAGGCTTTGTAATTAGTTACTCAAATTATTGCCCAAGAAAAACATATTTCTTATTGACAAATAAAACAGAATAAACACAGAGGGAGAGACAGAGGGAAACTTAAATATACTATCTCAAAATAAATGTGTAGTTCAATTAAAAGGAAAAGTACATAATATATAACAAGAATAAAATTTGTGGATAGTGTTGTAGGCATTCTTACATTTTATTTTTAATGTAGGTTAATAATAGAGATAGAGATTCTTTATCAATTATGCATAGTATGCTTCAATCTTCATCGTGTTGGCTTTTTGCCCTCAAAGGTTGTGGTAATAATATAATTTTTTTTTATTTAGATGAGTATATTAAATTATACTAAAAAAAACGATGACATTAAATATATAAAGATAAGATATTTTCCTTTTTATTAGGTCCTTGTCACCATTGTCTATAGGGCGAGTTTGAAAACCACTACGTTTATTCCTTTTCTGGCGTTTCTGTAAGTAGACAGGTTTTTTTAAAGCTTCTTGCTCTACTGATTAAAGTTTCATACACATTTTTCACAACCTGTTTTGCACAAAGCGACAAGTGATTTCCACGCGGCATTATATTCTCGTAAAATCACTTTTTCGAAACGCGTAGTAAAAACGATTATCAACACTGCTACAAATGGTCAACACTCAAGAAATATGTCATTCAACTAAAAATAAATTGTTAAAGGCTTTACCCAATAACAATAGGTAACAATATCGTTAAAGTTTTATTGGGGAGGGTCCATCGAACACGATGAAGATTGGACACGGACTATACCAGCGTAATGTCAGAAACGAAGAAGAAGAGGAGCGTGGTTGAATGTCACTAACTCTGAAAAGAAGAAGTAAACATGACAGTTTTAAATTTTATTATTTGTTTCTACAATCTTTCAATATTTTTTATTGTACGCACGATAAACTAGACTGGTGGTGAATCGGCACATAGGTACAAAGAAAATTTCTTTTCTAAAGCATTTTAGTTCTTAGTTAGTTTGATGCTATTGTATATCAAATGAATATCTAACCAAACTGCTGTCGGGAATTGGTAATGGCATTTTGTTTGTTCCGCGTATTGCTCATTTTTGTGTATTTAGTTTTCAAGATAAACGAGGTAAAATCTTCTAATAAAAAAAGACAATTTGAATTACTAAACGTGCAGATGTAACAAATTCTTATCTTCCAACATAAAGTCAAAGCACTGGACTATAATTAATAATTCGAAGACGTCAAACGTCCGATAATGTTGACTTTGATAACAGGCCCCCTACCGAGACTTAATATGCGTCTGAAACGTCATTTGCGTTCGTCGCCGTTTAATGCGGTTGAACTAGGTTATTATGTGCAAACGGAAATTTTTCATCACGCGTCTCATGATCTTGTGATTTACGAAATGTGTTATGAAAAAATCCCGAAACTATCGGACCTTTTTATAACAAAATATTAAATAGCAAGTGATTATTATTTTTAGCACCGCGTTTTACGTCACAGAATATTATTAAGACGATTTTTGCGAATGTTGTAATATGCATGAAAAAAAAAACATACAGTCGTCTTAGACAAATCTTGTAAAACAAATTTAGATCAAGCAAACTTGCTCCACTAATACTGTGGAATTGATGTACAACTTCTAACTCTAAATATTTTTAGTAGATAATATTCATCCATATTTTTTACACCACACCAAATGTTTTTGAACGATTCTAAGAAAAATAATTTACCAACTAACCAAAACCACGTATTACAATAAGGAAAGAAGTTTTTTTTTTAATTCTGTAAAATGCTTAACAAAGCAGCGTAATATTAACTTTAAATTTAATTGCTCCAGTTACACCGATACTTTTTGTGAGGGATTGGCTGCACACAATACTCGGGTTAGTTTTGGTTAGTTTTGATTGACAGTCTATTCCACCGTTGAACGATGTATTGAAACCTTATAGGTTAGTATGGAAAGAGTAAAAAATTATGACAAACATCTACGAGCAATTTTAGAAACGAGAACACATTCAATTTTTTAGTAGCAAACAAAAAGTCAATCCCCGGTATTTCCCAAATCGCAAACGTTCAAATATACTGCCTACAGATGTCGCTGATAATGTAAACGCGATGTAATTTTTACTTTTTTTGTATTTCGAGAATTGTTTTTCTTAGATCGGTTTCAATTGTCAGAAGGAGAACAATTTCATTATTTACCGATTAAAAAATACACGTCTTTTTATAGTGACATGAAAGGTTTGGCGTAAGTCCAAAAATTGTGTCTACTTAGCAATACTTACCTATAAAAATAATTTGTACATGCAAAATATGGATTATCTAATGTGCAAAAATTTTCCAACACGTGATATTTTGACTGTAATTTTGGACCAGGAAATACGTTAGTTAAAAACTATTGGCACGAAAATTATAGGATGTTGGCAAATCAAAGCATTATAGCAACTGTAGGTTTCAAACTCATACCTGCCTACCCACCGAATTGGCAATGCCTATAGCGCCACAAAGTAAAAAAAATATAACACATACATTAATATATATGTTGACATCGTATAATCCCCAAATAGGGACTATCAAATTGCGGCTTACTAATTCCAAATATCGATGTTTAAGATTTTTGTTTTGTCGATTACAACTTTGTTCTAACAATTCCAAAACACGCGAAACGCGATCTCATAAATGTCGATTTTAACATACACGATACACGCATAAAGTTATTTATAGACGGAATTTACAAAGAAAATAGATTAGGTATTCCAATAAAAGAAAACGTAAAAGAATGAGGCAAACATCGCGAGCTCCAACAATCAACTTCAAAAATCGGAAAGTGATTATTGCTACTCATACCTACATTCAATTATTGTGCAATATAATTTTCGTAAATACATGTATTTCAGTGAAAAAATATAACTTGGTGCGCCTTTTTTCTCTTTTTTTTTTTTTCAAAGAAAGCGGGTTTTTTAATGAAAATAGCCAACCGGGGGAAATTCACTTACCAGACAAGCCTTATCGAGCCTGATTTATATCACATTGCGATTTTAAAATTATAGCTCCAGACAGGTTTTAAGTTTCATCATTTATTCAATATTTTTGCTAAGTAAGCTGTTAAAGTGCAATGCGAGAAAACAAAATTTGCAAATTGTGACGACTTTCGTTTGAGGTTCAAGAATTAATATTTTAAAAAAATAAACATAAATTTTAAGTTTTGGATTAATTTCAAAAATATGAACTTAGAAATTGTGATCTATATTTACTAAGTATTGTCACAACTTCAGTACTAGTTTTCCTGCAATTCTAATGGACTTAATTTGTGCCAGTAACTATTACAGTAGGGGGAAGAATAGGAAACACAAATTAACCCAACCTTAGTTGAAATATGTTTTGGTTAGTTAGTGGCCCGAAAAGCTGGTCCTTTTTGTAAGTTTCTGAATAACACTTTTAAGTATTGCTTTTTTTCAAATATCCGAAACGTAATTTTTGTTTAAAATGATATTCTCCAATTTTTCAAAGAAACTTCCACGGGCTACTGTAATGCTTTTTACAAAACTTCTGGATTCCTCCTGCGTCGGTTTTTGCTTAAAATTTAATATTGCGTTTTGTTTCTCGATATTTTTGTTAAGGTGTGTGCCTCTTGAGATGCGACTATTTTTTTGTTTAAAAGATGTGTTAGGATATTGAATTCATTGGTTATTTTGTGTGACTATATAACTCCAGATATTACATTAAAATTGTATTAAATTAAATGAAACACATATTTAAACAGTCCTTCAAAAAAATCGATTCCTCGCGACGTCTTTTAAGGACCACATTCCTGTTAGAAAAAATAAAAACTAGAAAACGAACTACAGGCGAGAAATCATCCAGATCTTCGATTTCTAACGAAATTCGTAAAAAATTAAGGGCGTATCAAGATTTAACATATCTTCTAAAGTCAGGAACTGCCGACAATCAGTATCAGAACTTCTTGGTTTATTTTTTTTTGGTTATTTATTATGTAATGTAATGTAAGCGTATTATTTCCTTATCACTTAAGAAGCAAACAACCTCGAAATAAAACAAAACGTGATTTGACAGGCACTGCTAATGTCAAATGTCGAAATTTTAAAACGTCTTGAGATCGAATTCAAAACGATTAAAACATCTTAGAATATCAATTTAAATCTGTAAAATAAGTAGCATATGTAGGTATAATTTTACATACTTAGGTATGAATATCCGATATATTAGGTTATCCACTTACCACAAACGCGGTTTAATTAAATATGCGTAGGTGCAAGCGTATATATAAAATGATATGATAAAATAAACTGGAAATTCTATACCATTATGATTTACTTAATTGCATATATATCACTTACTTACAGCATATCTATAAGTACATAAATCGTCGCATTCGCACTTTACACTTTTAGGAACCGGATAAATATTGATTTTTCGGCAGTTGCGCATTTAAACAACATAACAACGTTATTTTTACGACTTACTACGGCAAATTGCGTTAGGCCCTCGCAGGAATTATCTAAATGGGTAATCAAATTCGAGAATATACAAAGACTGGTAGACATTAAAAATAGTTAGCGGCTATTTTCGTGGATCCGTCAACATTCCGAGTTAACCCAACTATTCTCGATTTACAATATGCATCGCTTAAAAATAGATTTATCCGCCTAGTCCTAGATCCTTAGAATGTTAATCAATCGAAAAACTGGCCTTACCCAAAAAATCGGATGGAAGATTCTCTCCGTAAAAAATCGCTGCTAAAAACTTGGCGATCGTTTACCGGCACCCGATTCAAACTCAAGCGAAACTCGGGTCAGAAAAGTCACGGCAGTTTAAAACTGACAATTTTCAAGCGCAAAGTATGCTCGATTAAGGTTCAAACGCAATATAGAGCGGATTAATGCAGCCCGTCTACGAACAATTAATCGACTAAGAATGAAATCGAAAATCCAACCACACACTTCGAACGAATCCAGCCGTCTGAAATTTTCGACAGTGCGAGGCACACAACGCCGCAGTCAGCTAAAACATTCTTCACGACCGACGCTTCTCGAGACTGGAAAATTTTTCACATGAAACGTTGAAAAGTGACGAGCCGCCGTGAAACCATCGCGCAATGAATAGCGTGCCAATGTTTTTAGGATACCCTTATCGAAGGACGGCGTTACAGCGTCTACATGTGGGTTTTTATCGGATTCGGCTTCGAAGGGCAGTAGGTAGAATATTAGCAGAAACGAAGTAAATGAACGGAGCTTTTTTTATGAGATATTTTTTCAACACAAATTTTCACATATTTCAAGTTTTCCTTTATCATCTAGTCCAAAAGTTTGTAATTATAGCGCAATTTATGAACACTTTGCTATATATTGTAAAACAACTATGATGAGGGTTTAAGTCGACTTTATTATTCATGCATCCAAAAAAAACACCCGAAACGTTGAACAACCAACCGTAAATCTCCTTAAGTTCTCAATAATGAAGGATATGCACAGCGTCACATAGCTGCCTATGCTGATAATACAGGACCTTGTGAAGCAACTATAAAAAAAAATTTGAGAAGGTTTATTCAATATGAGCATGCGCAAAATTTCGAGAGTTAACATGGCCGCTGACACATCGTAAATCAGTTTTATATGCCTAGAGCTTGTTAAATGTTCTGGGAAAACGAGTTAAGTGTATGGAAATCGCTGTTTGGAAAGAAAATGGTGCAAAGTACAGATTACCATCTCTACGGAAGTATCAATAAGCCCACTATAATTTCTATATATATCTATATATCTGGGCACATTGCTGGTTGCGAATGGTTGTCAATCTATCGACTTAAAACTAATCCATGTTAATGTTTGTTAACAAAAAATTTTCAAAAAGCCGAATTTTTCTCGCATAGTGGTTATAGAAAGTTCTATAGAGGATGGAGTTTTCTTTAGCCGCAATAAACTACCTATTTTAATCATTTTTGTACACTTTACTCATATTTTAAAATTCAAATTGCGCGCTGTATGTGTCACTGGCTTTGATTGGCTAAACTGTCAAACGGAACGGTCGATTCTGATTGGCTAGAAGATCGAAAGGCCGGAACAAGATGGTGAAACAAGAATGTTGTATTTTCGATGGGTGTTTTAATTTTACACTACCTTTTGAACATCATCCACTCTTTTGAAACAAAATTATTAACAATTACACTATTTAAAAAAATCTAAATTTAAAATATATGTATAAACCTAACCTTTAAAGTTGATATAAATAAAACATTTACAGAAAGCTACTGTTATTTAATCCAAAAAAACAAACTAATATCCTCTATCGTTGAGTAGAAGTATGAGAATGAAAAGGGATTTTTATTTGACGGTGTGTCATGTAGTAAATATATTTGAATATGATGGCAATATAAAAAGAATTTTTAATTTATTTTTGCGATTGAAAAATAAATAATTCATGTCATCACCAAATATTGGGGTCATCAACTTTCTCTCATCGGTACAACAGCTTTCCGTTTATTCTTATCGAATCGTTTTCAGTACGTAGCTAGTTAAAGAGCATTCGGCGTATACATACGGATTATGTCGTTATCAAAGCTGTTTGCGTTGAGAGTGTATAAAATAAATGTCCCTGCAATAGTTACGGGATGCCCTGGTCGTAAACATTTCGGAACGTCCGGTACCCGTTACGCGAAACTAGCGCAAGAAAAGAAAACGGACTGGAACCGTGCCGTAAGCGAAGCTGAGAAAATTGTCGGGTACCCGACTTCTTTTTTAAGTCTACGCTGGTTATTGAGCGACGAAATTGCTAATGTTGCCCTACACTTACGGAAATTAGTCGGCTCTAATCACCCGTTACTGAAAACGGCGAAGTAAGTGCCTTTATACATGCTATGTAGTTACCTACTTATTCTTGTTCATTACTAGGGGGCTGTTATACAATGGAAAAAACAACATGCAAGCCTGGGGCTTGATAGTGCTTTTAGTTTCAAAAGCAGCGGGTCACGCAGCAGACATCCCTGATATGGAACAAGACAAAGCTGCTGGAGTGTTGCATAGCCAGAGAGCTCTCGCAGAAGTCACAGAAATGATTAGGACAAGTCATCTGGTGCATAAAGGATTGGTCAATTTGCAACCACCAACCACAGCGGATCCTTCCGGGGATATGATGTTCGGTAACAAAATTGCATTGCTGAGTGGAGATTATTTGTTAAGCAACAGGTAAAAAATAAAGCGCAATTAATTGCTGTACCGTGAGTGGCTTTCTGTTTTAGTTGTATAGAACTGGCAAATTTGAGGAATCAAGATTTGGTGGAGTTAATGAGTTCGGCGGTGAGAGATCTAGCGGAAGCGGAATTTGTGGGACCACGCGATAAACAGAACAATCCACTGCCGGCCAGACCCAAGGAGAGTTCTTCCAAATATACGCAGTTTACCGAAAATAATTTGGAACCTCTGGTCGTTAGTGAAGCTTTGGGCAATGCTCAAGCGGAATGGACTCTGAGACATGTTTTGACCGCCGGTGAGTTATAAGCAAGTCCGAGAAACTACACAAGCATCTTCATACTTTTATTAAAACTCTTCTTTGAAAATAGGGAAGGTTATAAAGAGAACCATGTGGTTATAGTTCAAGTTTGACGTATAGGTGGCGCTCAAGTTTGACATATAGGTGGAGCCTCAATCGATTTTTAACTCTGTATTTTATGATAAGACAAACTAATTTAAAATTGAAATCGTGAAATTTTTAATAAATAATATTTCATGTGTGAGCACCATGCTAATAATACATTATTTTTTGAAGAGCGCAATGAGAAAAATATTGACATGTTATTTGAAATCTCGTTTCCAACCAATAACCGGTAGAGAAGTTCAACAACCAATATGCCCGCTGACAGTTCGTCGATTCGACAGGTTTCAGTTTGTCGGATTTTTATGCCAGTTTTCTCTCAAAATTTCGTTAAATCTTTTGAAAAAGCGAGTTAAGGGTGTGAAGATTGCTATTAAGAACATGGCACAAAATACAGTTTAATGTGTCAAATTTATAGGCATCTGAAGAAGATCGCTAGTCTGCAAATAATAAAAGATAATGAAACCTGTTCTATTCAAAAACTTCCAAACCTCCAGACTGTAGCATACTAGAAGTACCAGTCACAAAATGCCAATACACCAACCATAACAATTTTCCAGTATATTTAGAAAATAATATTTACATTATTTATATCAATATAAAATCCACGGAGGATTAGAAATATGCAAACATCAAATTATTTAATAATTAAGAGGTGGGCTCATAACAATCTTGCATAGAACACCTGTACTTCTAGCGATGGAGCACTCCCCAAGTTGAAGGTTTCTGAGGTATTATTTAGTATTGTGTTTTAGGCAGCCTTTTAGGAAAATCATGTCAAGGTACACTGAAACTAGCCGGACATACCAAAGAGTTACAAGAGAAGGGGTATCTATTTGGTAAACATTTAGCTCTTGCGTGGCAGGCTTGTCTGGATCGGGAGCCCTTCACTCCTGGTTCGAGCGGACATTTCAGTTTGGTTTGCGCCCCCTTAATTTTTACTCTGCAACATAAACCTTCCCTTTATGAATATATTGAAAAAGGACAGGGCAATGTCGAAGATGTTGACTACGAACTGCTAAGGAGAGAGGTTTTGCAAGGACCCGGTTTGGCATTAACAAAAAAATTGCAAAAAGAGCACTCACAAGCTGCACTGACCATGTTAAAAGAGTTACCAGCTTCAGATGCTCGCACGGCGTTAGCGAACATTATTGAAGCAATGGAAGAATCTTAACGAGTATTTATCAGACACATTTCCTAATCTTTATCTATGAATGAAAAGAAAAGACGTGCATTCCCTCTTGTGAATGTTTATTATTCATTCTTACTAATATTTGTATGTAAAAAAACTTCTGAAACCATTCTGTGATATCCAATATACAAAAATCTTATGTTCTATGTATTTTATGTATTTTTTTATTGTAGTTATTTTTGGTGATGGTCGATTAAATGGTTTGTTACATTTATAGTAAAAAAACTTGTCTTATTTGAACCATGCAAATTAATAATTCCCTTTTGTGATAATCTAAGATTTAGATTAGATTTCAAAAAAAGGGACATTTTTTAACTTTTTACTGGGTGGTTTTACATCTCAAGAGTCTTGAATCCGTTATCATTTTCATCACAATACTATACTAACTATGAGTGTACCATCACTTTCAAATGACTAGAATTGAATGAAAAATTATTTTTTACCATATCAACCATGATATCATTAAAATATTACCACACCTTGACAATATTAATAAGGGCACTTCTGGCATCACTATCACTAAACTGCTGCAAAACCTCTATGGAATTTTCAACAAGTTCTTGTTTTAAGTCTTGCGTTAGTTTTAAAGCAGGTCCACAATGAATCATCTCTCTCATTTTTTTGTAATCGCAATCCTCAATATTTTGGGAGCCTTTCAAGATCTCATCATAAAAGGCTGGGTCATGTTGAAGGTGAAATAGGACTGGCGCTGCCACCAAATCAAAGATTCCATCTTTGTTAAGTTGAAATGCTTCTAAATCCTCATTGGCTTTCCAAGCCAATGCCATATTCTTTCCAAAGATGTAGCCTAATTTTTGAAAGTTATCAGAATGACCCGCCAGTTTTAAAGCTCCTTGACAGCATTTGGCTAACAAGCTAGCAGTGCCTAAAAAGTGTCTTAGAGTCCATTCAGCTTTGGCATTTCCCAATACATCCTTAATCTTTAAAGGTTTGGTGCCAAATTCATTAGGAATAACAATGTCGGTTTGCATTTTTAGAGGTTTTGCCGGTAAAGCCCTGTTTTGCTCATCCCTTGGCTCAATAAATGCTGCCTCCGTCAGATCTCTTAGACAGGCTGAAACTAATTCATTCACCTCTTGATTTTTCAACCCGGCCAATTCTTTAAAGCTGGAGCTCAATAAAAAATCTCCAGACAATAAACTTAATGTGTTCCCAAAATTTAGATCTGAATATTGAGGGTTATTTTGACTGATGTTTAAAATGCTGTTATGTAAAATATTGCTAGTATGTATCATTTCTGTCACTTCAGCCAAAACTCGTTGACTATGAAGAATGCCTGATAAACAATACATGATAATAACATCACAATGCTATAAAAAGGACCTACCCGCCATTATATCTTTATCAATTTCAGACACATCTTTGGGCAATCCTCCCGCTTTTGAAATTAATAAAACTATTAATCCCCATGTTGGTATCTCATTGCCTAATAATAAACCTCTGTAAAAATGATTACTTCAAAAATCTCAAACTTCCATCTGACTTAGTTGAAGATTATACCGAGCACTTGCTAACAATGGGTGGTTTGTTCCAATCAATCTTTTGATATGTGAGATAATGTTAGCAATTTCATCATTCAAGAGCCACCTAAGACTCAAAAATGAAGTGGGATATCCGACGATTTTTTCAGCTTCATTTACAATTTTGTTTCGGATTGTTAATGCTTTTGCTTGAGTCACCAAATTTCGGTAAATCGCATTTTTGCAAATATGTTTGCTGCTACAACTAAGATTTGTCAATCGTAGAAACCCGTTCAACATTATTATAAATTAAAACTAGTAATTCTTAAATCAGATTTGAACTACCATGTTGGTTGCTAATCAGAAACAACAAATACCACCTTTGTATGAGTTAAGATCAGAGACATGCGAGGTTAGTTTTGATTAGATAGAAAGAAGTAAGATAACTATGGATGACGTTATATAATGAATATAATTTTTCTTTGGTGTCTACATTGTTGATTCACCTGCAGAAATTTTAATTATAAGTGTCAATAATCTAATTATGAATTCAATTTGAAGAATTGTTTTTTTAAACTTTCTTTTCGGTCGTTTAGTCCGTATTCTATAGTCTGTGCTATATAATTTTGACAATCCAAAATCATCCTGAAAAAGTTTTGTTTTTCGACATTATTTCCAGAAATTGAGCGGTATTTATATTTGCTTGAAATTGCCTTTCTTAAACTTCAAAAATGGTGTTTTCTGCAATTCCTACCGAAATTAAGCCAGTAGCGCACCTAATGAAATTAGCAGAGGAGCATGAAAGTAGAAACATTGTAGTAGCCTATTGGGGTAATGTAAATTTGTAATGATTTCGTCTATTTAATTTACCCTTGTTTAGCTCGCATGGCCGCATGTCGCATGGCATTGGAGATGACGCCCGGAAAGAGAAGCCCTCAAACTACTGCATTAATCAATGAAATTTTAAATTGGCTTGAACAAGTAAAAGTAGCCAACAAGGATAATGATGGTATTCGTAGTGAAACTGCTGCACAAGCTATTATAGAAGACTATACTCTAAATTTGTTTAATTATGCCGACCAGCAAGATAGAGCGGAGATCTACAACAAGTAATAGTAACAAGTTTCATTGTCTTTCTAATATTTCATTTTTTTCACACACTTCACTTTGGATATGTTTCAGAAACACTGTAAAGTCTTTCTACACTGCTGGTATTTTGTTTGATGTGCTTCAGCAATTTGGTCCGTCAGATGATTTATCAGAGAAAAGGAAGTATGCCAAATGGAAGGCGGCCTACATTCACAATTGCCTAAAGTGTGGAGAGGCTCCTATACCGGGACCTCCAAATACAGATCCAAAAAATAAATTGGTTCATATTAGCGAATTGCCGGAAGAAGAGCAGCAACGTTTACTGGCAGAAAAAAAACGTTTAGAAGAGGAGCTTGAACAGCAGAGGCAATTGGATGGTGATAATGGTATTAACCCAGATGAGTGGGATGACAAAGATATTTCCTCCCCTCCACGTGATATGCCTACCATGCCTAGTGATGAGCCTAATAATGGCTTTGCGTTTCCAAAAAGTTCACCTATAAGTCCTTATGTCCCTGAAGCTCCTGGTTTTGTAAGTCCTGCGGCACCTTCTACCCCACAACCCCTGCCACAATCAACAACCCATACTCTACCTTCGAATAATGGTAATCAGATTCCAGTTACTCCTGAACAGATTCAGAAGGCGCAGAAGTATAGCAAATATGCCACTTCTGCATTGAACTATGATGATGTTAAAACTGCTATAGATAATTTACAAAAAGCACTGAATCTGTTGCAGTTTGGAAGAGAGTAAAAAGTTTTTTGATATTATGTTATTATTTAGAGCATAAATTTTTATTTTATAACACATATTGTTAATTAGAATAATTGCTTTGCTTTTGTAAATACATATTTTTGTTCTTAACCTTGCTATTTAATAAAAATTTGATTTGTATATTTTATGGGTTTTCTTAGACTAAAGGGATTTTTTGAAATAATATGTAATAATAACATTGGAGTTTGTTGGGATGATGTCAATTATCTAAGATGACCAGTTGAGTTGAAGTGAGTTAAATACAATGTTACGTCTCACGAATTGAAAAATACGATGGATTATATCCATTAAAAAAAATGACTCTTTGCAGTTTCAATATTTTTAAATTTGTAAGAATAGAGTTTACTTCCGAAAACGACACGCATCTTACAAAGATGTTGATCGTCTGCGTCTTCATAAAGTAAGACTATATCATAGAATAATAACCATATTGGGGAAAATTGAGCACAACACACTGGAAATTATTTGGATGTTCGCAATTCGATCGCTAGGACGCGCTGCCACCGTGCAACGTATGCCGAAGCCATTGAACCTTGTTTAGATCAATGGCTAGAACCGAATCCTCTTATATTGACATAGGGTAGCTTAGCAACGCCGTATATACACATTAATGTGTATACAAACATGTCATCTTCGCAGTGCAGTTTTTAATTTAATTTTTCACATTTTACGCTTCCATCTTGTATATTATATACCTACACCTAATTAGGTGTTCGAAAATATGACTTCCGTTAGTCGAACAAATTCGGAATCTACTCAAAAATCAGACCAGTGCGAGGCAGGAAGTAGGTTTGTATACATTTTTAAAGTATAATCAACCAGGCAATAGCTTTTTAGAGCCTAACAATGTAAAAAATTTAGACGATAATTAAAATCAAAAACGCCTTTTCTAAAAACATGTCCTTCGAAATAATTTAGTTGAAAAATAATGAAAATTATAAATACATTCATAAAAATTAAATATTTTTGCTGTAACTGAAAGTACAATGGTAAATACATTATTCTTTCAGGAGTAAAAGCTGCGATACTTTGTGCACCTCAAGTTCGAGTTGTTTTTTTAAAAAAAGGAAACCTATGAATCCATTGGCATATCCCGTAAGGCCGACGCACAAAGCCAATCCGGTAAAACAACGGGTCATGTCTGCGAAACTGCTAAAACTGCGACAGCTACAAAGTCAACTGAATGACGCAAATTTCCATTTAGCCGTAAGCAGAATTCGAATGTCTACATCTAAACCATTCTACCAAGACATGACGGGATAATTCAAAATTAAAGTAAAAATGAATAAACTAGACCTTTTAAACTAATTAAGTAGATATTGATTATTGACTGTATAAATTAAAACTATTTATATCTACTATTGACGCAGATTTTATAGTTTGTACATACTATACATTCAGGGTGTTCATTTTAAGTGAAACATTAAAAGAATACTTAAGGTCCGTCAAGTTCGAGAAAAGTTTCCCATGCCCTATCCAGGCTCGCTTACAGTGTTGACAAATTTCTTTTAGTTCATGAAATGCGAGGTAATATGCGAACAGCTCTTACAGTATTATCAGAAATTAACAGACTGTTAAATAATCATGTAGGGGTTTTTCGCAACACTGTAAGCTAGTCTTGAATAGGCATTGTATAATTATGATTTTTCGCGATTTTCAAAATTTGCTTACAGTATTGCCAAATTCTTTGTAGTAATTACGACAAATACAGGATTCCGCACATGCCTCTATATTATTATTATTATTATAATTATTATTTATTGTTTATAAGAAATTACATTTCTACAATAAGAAATCCGCATCAGAGCTTAAAGAAAATAAAATCGTAAACTAACACAGATCTATCAGCATGTGATATCAGATAGACCGATACAAATTATAGTTTTATTTTTACTCGTTTTTAAGAAAAACGCGGGTCTTTAATATATTTTATAGTAAAATAAGCAAGACGTCTTAACTTACGTGTGTCCAAATTTTTTAAAGCTGTATTAAAATTATTTTTATCGGAAAACTTCACGGTACGGAGACCATTATACGTCGGGAAAGTAAATAGAAGGCGCTAAATTGCTTCAAATTGTTTAGTGTTACATAGGGAGCCAATCTGTTCCGAGCATTTCCGAAAATCGTACATTCTGCGTCATCTTCACAGAACATTTAACGAGGTCTAGGCCTTTTTTTGTCGAAAACGAAGTAAGGTACGAAAAGAAAGTTTTAGTTTTAGTTGCAAAATTTGAAAAAAAAAGTTAAAAATTTCAGTGGCGTACATTATTTTGTCAGAAATATTCGACAGGGTGCTTCCTGGAAAAATGCAACTGCACTTAATAATTGGTTATCAGAACATCAACACTACCAAATTTCAACAAAATCGGTCAAAGGATATTTATTATTTCGACCATTATTACCGAAAACCCTGTATATCTAGTAGTTATACGAATTTAACGGACCTTGTAAGCCTACCGCTTAAGTCGGACATCGCCCTGTATAATATATTTTTCTAAAAAACCAACATTTTTGAAATATACTTTAGTGTTATAAATAATATTGATATCACATACGATAATTTGAGTTAATATGTTTCAGGAGGTTGCTCGGGAGAACCAAGTTTTAAAAACATTACAAAAACGGCAAGACAAAGCCTTATCACGGTAAGTTTTTCGATATACTTTATAACGAAGGAGTGCTAACCTGTAAAGGTGAATCATTTCAGATACGAAAGTACAAACGCAGATCTTCCAAGATTACTTCACTCGCACGAGGAAGAACTTCGAATGTTGTCGGAGAGGAACAAGAGCTTGAAAAAAAATTTGAGAGAGTTAAGCGACCAATTGAAATTAAAAACCGAAGAGCTGGGCAAAGCGAAAGAACAACTGTCGCGTCTAGAAAAACTGAATAGAGATAAACACCTGACGGAAAGGGAAACGCTCATGGATAGGTTGGAAGATTTAAAAATGAAACTGACCAAATCGGAGGAACAGGTGACCGTGCTGAACAGGAAATTAATACTGGAAAGCAAGATCTCGAAACAACGATTGAACACAGAAATCGTAAAGTATAAACAGAGCCAAAAGGAACTGGTCCACGCGCTCGCAGAAATCGATCGACTGACCGCGCTCGTCGAAGAAAAGGAGAATACGACGGCGCGACCGAGAAAACCGTTTGGGAAGTTCGGAAACCATCAATCGATGTCGATGGTCCATTTGGGCGCTCATCAAACTCTAGATGGCAACTTGACGAAAGAAAAAGTGGCATCCGAAGAAAATTTCCCCCAGACGCCAGTACTGGACGTAAAACTCGAACCGATCAGAACGAAAACAGAAGAAATCCGACGAAACTGCCACACGGATTTGCTTAAAACTCCCATGGAAAGTATAAAACAGAGACTGTCGAATAGTGCGGAAGGTATTTCTCCAAAAGGAGACGAAGCGGGTCGCGATTTCCTCAAGAGCAGGCCCAATTCTTCCTTAAAGTTGGAAAAGATCGTGAAAGTGAACGACGGCGACAAAACGAAACCGGACCAATCGCCACGGAAGGATGAGTTGCGAAAACGCGATAAATTAGAACTGAACCAAGTGGATAACGACGAATTAGTAAGGCGCGTTTCGGAACCAGATTCGGCGAAATTCGACCGAAAATTCAACGAATACTGCTCGGAAATCGTGAGCAACATGAAAAGTTGCTCGGAAGTGATCGAATTGCATAGGGAAAATCTCAAGTCGTCGCAACGCGATAGCGATACCTTATTGGCAGCTTTCAAGGACACCGAACAACTTGAATCGAAGCTGAAAAAATCGTTTTTCCATTTGGACCAGTCGGATATGAGTTTCGTACGCGAGATCTTGAACGAGGAATACAAGTTTAAAGAAAAGGGGGCGAACGGTAGGAAAGAGCCGATCGTCAGTATCGATAACAAAAAGAAATTGCTCGCCACTCTGAGGGCTATCGACAACGGCGAAAGTTTCGATAGTTTAGAAGATGGTAAAGCAAATCAAGGGACGATAATGCAAGAAATTTACGGCAACGTTTCCCACTGACCATTTTCAATTCATCCCTATACAATCTTGTTTATGTTGTAATAAAAGATCGATGTTAGCTAAAAAATATTGGATTGTTAAATTTCGTCTTGTTGGAAAATGATATAATAAAGTATAGGATGTCCGAAAGATACCAAAACTAACCAAACCTTACACACCTTTAAAAACAAAGGAATTATAGAACACAAAAAAATCAAAAAGAACTGTAAATATAGAAAAGAAACGTTTAGGGCGTAGTGGCTACGCTAACTCGCTAAAAAACAAACATAAGGAAATAAAAAAAAAGAAATGTAAACAGACTGTCTGTTGATATTTTTTTTTAATTCGAAAATTGCAATTCTAAGCTAACAAAATTACTCGATGTGACTATTTTATAGTCTTCCAAAGAGTGAATTAAAATATTTACAAAATTAAGTCTCGTTGAAATACAAAGCTCAAGAAATAAAGAAAAGAAACATTTAGGACGTAGTGGATAGGCTAAATCACTAAAAACAACAAACTTGAGGAAATAAAAAACTAAAAAGAAATGTAAACAAGGAAACGTAAAAAATCTTTAATTACTTTTTTTTCCGGCCGAAAATTGTAATTGTAATCTAATAAAATTACTCGATGTGATTATTTTATAACTGTACAATGCGAATTAAAATAAAAAGAAAATAAAAAAAAAGTTAAAAAATGAAGTCTGGTTGGAATGTCAACCTCAATGCTTTCTGCTAGCATTAGTACGTCGCAACGCAATACTTTCAGCGTCTTTGTGGAGGATTAAAATATGTAATTTATTCATTCTCCCAAAAAACTTTAAATATGCAAGTCACCAAATGATTTTTTTAATATAGTTAAAATAAACCCATTTATTTGTATACATCAAATAAATATTATATAACATATATACAGTATCGTACATTCTGGTATCACACCCTATTTTCCCTCGTTGGCCTCTCCTTGAAGGAGTGGTTTTGAGTATGCCAGAGTTTGTAATAAAGACTGTCTATGTTCTGCAGCAGAGCTTTGTGATCACCCCTTTCAGATACTTTGCCATTTTCGAAAACAAAAATTTCATCCGCATCCATAATCGTACTCAAACGATGAGCGATGCAAATGCTCGTCCTTCCTTTTGTTGCGTTCCTTAACGCTTTTAGTATATTCTGCGGGAACCGCATATTAATAACAAATCGTTTTTCAACATATCGAACTTACGTGTTCCGTTATCGAGTCCAAAGAACTCGTGGCTTCGTCGAAAATCAAAATGGGAGAATTTTTTAAAATCGCCCTCGCGATTGCCACTCTTTGCTTCTCCCCGCCCGAAAGTTTTAAACCCCTTTCGCCGACCTGCGTTTCGTAGCCCTGGGGCCATTTCAAAATTGAATCGTGAATTTCTGACATTTTGCCAGCCTCCACCACATCTTGTTCGGACGCGTTCAGGTTACCGTAATGCAAATTGTATTTAATGGTGTCGTGGAACAGTACCGAATCCTGTGGTACAATTGAAATGGATTTCCTCAAACTTTCGAGATTTACGTCGCGGATATCTTGGCCGCCAATAAGTATACGGCCACGAGTAGGTTCATAAAACCTATAGAGCAACCTCACCAACGTTGTTTTGCTACGACAAGAAAAAAATGGCATTCCTTTTTTATTTCAGTGCCGGATAACTTATAATACGCAATTCGACATTTTAAGTAATTTATTTACATGAGTGTCAATAACACAGGTGTACCGTGTTTTTAATGTTTGAAAGCTGTTTGCTTAATTGTATTTTTTTGGGTGCACTTTTTGCAAAAAACGCCACATGTTTGCTCTATCATGTCATTTTTTTTATAGCGCTCTATATCTGATTTTATGAAATTTAATGTGATTTGGCAACACTGGATAATATTAGATTTCTCTGCAAAGCAACAGAGTTGGCGTAGAAGCTTCAATACAGCGTTGCCACCAGCTTATGCGCAGTCTGGTTGTATTTTTCGTACTATTGTGTTTGCGATTGTTGAGTATTTCTAGTGTTCTAGAACGTATAAATAACTTTTGTTATGTCTGTGGTGGTTATGTCGTAATAAAGCAAAACCTGGTAGCTAAAATATATTAAGAGATAGCTTAGTTGACCCTAAAAAAGTTTTACTGCCCTCTTCATATCAAAAATAGACAGCGTTTCAATACTTTTGGGAGAAAACACAATTACCAATGTCGACAAAAACACCTGAGTTACATTTAAAGAAGTAATTGATAAGTTTCTAAGAACGAAAAATTCACACTTTTGTCTTCTAGGTTGTAATATGAGTTCGAAAGTGCATTTCCTGTTTTCACAATTGAACTATTTTCCTCAAAATTTTGCAGCAGTTAGCGAAGCACATGGAGAGATTTCAGAACATTAACTAGGATTCCAGTTTTTAACTGAATAAAAAAATAATTTGTTTTTTTTTTCGTTTAATATTTGCAAAAAAACCTTACGTCATACAATCAGCCTACCAAAATCAAAAAATCAGTTTTCAAAATAAAAACATCTGGCAAAAAGTTTAATTATAAAAAGAGTTTAATTATAAAAAGAGATAATATCGGACCCTATAGGAAGGATAAAGGAATAGGTTCAATGTCAATTGAACCAATATTTTTTTATTATTTTTAATTTTTTAAATTGTAATTGTTTCGGGACGGTCATAGAAAAAGTATAGTATGCAACACGTTAGAGAAACTTTTTCAATCACTCCTTTAAGCGCAGGCTCCACTCATGACTAACATGCTGTTTATGAAATTTATTACATATACTATAACCTAAACCTAATCTAACCCCAAAACAGTACTCACCCTGATCCGGAACCCCCTACAATTGCAATTTTCTTGCCAGGGGAGATGGTAAGATTAAGGCCATTTAGGATCTTCTTTCCAGGTCCGTACTCGAAACTAACATTGTCAAAAACAATTTCCGAGTTTTTCGAATCCACATGTAGGTAGGGTGCGTTAGGTTTGTTCTACAACCACATTGTTTCAAGGGTCAACAACTTTTTCTCATAGAACTATCTTATCGATGCAATAAATAGGTTTTTGGACCCTTTCAAAAATTTCATTACCTTTCAACAAGTATTGATAAATCAAATAAAATTTAGTAGTATTCTGTATCTGTCAGAGCTTATAGGGTATAGGAAAAGTGTCCAATTTATCTTAGAAATTTGTTAAAACACTTTAAGCTTTTTTACAGCAGTTATTTCAATAACCCAATAAAAAAATAATGTATTTTAATTCAATGGGACAAACGACACTGGTATTACTCACTTTAATTGAGCTGTCCATGGACATGAGTGTAAACATTGTTTGCATATCCACCAAAGCCTGACGAACCTCCCTGTAAACGCTACCCAAAAATCCTAAGGGTATTGATAATTGAAATAACAAACCATTAACCATCACTAGATCACCCACCGTCATGTTTCCTAATGACATTGTCTATAAAGATGATTGTGAAAATGATATCTAAATTTTGTTAACCTTTCAAAATTTCATTAGCTGCCAAAATCATAATACCACTCAGGGCGGCACTGAATATGGCATTTTGTCCAAAATTAAGCATAGCTAAACTGCTAGTGGTTTTCAAACTGGCCGCTTCATATTTTTTAAGAGCCGCGTCATATCTTTCTGCTTCGTACAATTCATTGTTAAAATACTGAAAGCAAAATATTTTATGCAACAATGCTGTCACTTCAAAGATAAAATGTGGCATACTTTTACAGTTTCATAATTTATTAATGAATCTATGGCTTTATTTCCAGCCTCGTTCTCTGCTTTATTCATATAAACCCTAAATTTTGTCCTCCATTGGGTTATTCCTAAAGTGTATACAGCATAAATTCCCACACAACCTAATGCAATACCTGTAAAAGTTAATACCAAAAGTTACTAGTACTAATATATTTTTAAAATACAATAAAATTTTTACCTGCAAATGCCGATCCACATTTGAGATTTAAAATTGTAGACACCAGAGCGAGTTCAAAAATCGTTGGAACAATATTAAAAACCATAGCAGTTAACACAAAATTTATTCCTCTGGATCCTCTATCTATAGTTTTGGATAGAGCACCTAAAAAATTAACCTCGAAAGACTAGCTGGATTAGAAAAGTATGTATATCACCTGTCTGTCTGCTCAAATGAAATGATAAATCTAAATTGTGCAAATGAATAAATACATTTTTAGCTATCCTCCTAATGGAGTGTTGCGCGACTTTTGCAAACACAGCATTTCGCAATTCGTTGAATCCCGCGGCTCCTGCTCTAGCTACACCATCTGAAAAAAAAAATACCCATTGAAAATTTATATTAGTCTTTATTTTCAAATATTTCCCTACACCCAAGTAGAATACTTGTTGCCACCGTAGCCAAAGTTTGTGGTGCAGAATCCATATTGAGTACGCCGCCGGCATTTAAATTTAAATAGTCCACAGAATATTTAAAAATAAAGGGGACACAAACATTTAATAGCTTTGCTCCAACTAGTAAAGATACTGCCAAAGTTACTCGGTTTCTTATTTCCTTGTTATCTTTCGGCCAAATGTATTGTAGCATGGCTCCGACCATCTGCGTCCCACTTACTGGCTTGCTCCCCAACGGAAGTGACTCTCTTGACAGGGTTGAAGCTCCTGGATGAAAACATCCTCTTGCAGGCTGACTTTTTGGCAAACTAGTAGGTGCCTTGTTTAAAACGTTTGCTAGAATACTAGCGTTTACAACTGGGGTTTTGTCTGTGTCGCTACTAGTCGTGGAAGACTGAAACAAATCTACAAGTAGAAATAGCCAATAGGTTGGAATTACGTAAATGTATCCTACCTTTTTAATTTGATACGTTATAGGTAAATATTTGTTTGTAATTTGTTGTCTTTGAAAAAAATGGCTAAAATTGCGACTACTAATTCCCTTTTTTACAAAAAATCCTAGTGATATTTTATTAACCTTAAAATATAGTACTGCCGCCATTGCGGCACAAATGAACTACTGTCAGGAATGGAATATGAGTTGGACACTTCGTTTCGAACTTGAACGCCTCATATCGGTCATTGATTAGTATTGCCATTTATCCGATAATGAACATTTAAAACTAATGTACAAATTGCATAATGTGTCAGACAAATCTTAAATTTACATGCATTAATTTAACTAATTTTATTTCTTAGGCATATACTCCTGGATCAAAAAGGTCAATTTTTAATTCAAATACATAATTAGTGATTTTCTACGTTTTTCTTTAAACAAACACAAAAAAATGTTAATAATTTAATGGACCAATGCTTAAAACAGTATACATGATATATTTACAACATTTTATGAGCATACATATGCTGTGATTGTAAAAAATATAGTTTAATTTCAAGCAATAATAGTTCCTTACCTCAAAGCGAATAGAGATGAATAATACTTTAAACTTAATAAAACCAAGTCCAGATAATTTATATGTAAAGATAAAAACAGCAAATGTAACGATAAATAAATAGGACATTTTTTGAAGGTGCTTCTATTATAGCAATTATGCTTCTTCAGACTTTTCAGTTTCAATTTCAGTAGCCTCCACATCAACTTCTCTACTACCATTTTTAATTTTTTGATCATCACTCTCGTTTTCTTTATTATCCTGTGCGTCTTCTTCAAGTTCTTGCGTTTCTTCCATTATAGGCACAGTATTATCTTCATTGATTTTAAGCTTTGCGTCATCAGTATCATTAGTAGGCACATCTTTTTCTGGTGAAATTTCTTTAGCATCCTTAGTTTCATCATTTACCACTTCTCCATTGCCAAGGGTTGTTTCCACATTCGAAGTAATAATTGTGTCACCAGGAGCTAATTTTAGGAATTTCTCCATCTCATCCAACTCATTGGCCATATCAAAGGCGTCATAATCCTAAAAACAGAAGTTACAATATTTAAAAAACTGTGCATGGTATCTCATTCTAAAAAACTAGAAAAGCAAACAATTTGTCATAAACAATAAACTAAAAAACAATATAACTAATATTAAACAAAAATTCTAAGGAGTGCTAAATAAACGTAAAAATAAATTTAAAAATAAAGCCAACCCCACAATACTCTTCTTCATTAAAAATCTGTGGAGGTAGGGGATGTCTAGGGTTGGGGTCACCTATTGTTCCGCCAAGAAGCTTGGAATTATTTTGCATATACTCTTTCGCCTCTTCCATGTTGGGTTCGGCGATATCCAAAATTTCATACTTAACATTTTTTGAATCAAGAATCAGCAAAACTCTCTGTTGTCGCTTTTTCACCTGCCAAAATCACAACAGGTGTAGACAGGTCAATTAGGCCAAAGAACTAACAAATTCTACCTCTTTATTTCCGGATATTCCGCTTATATACACTTTCACTACCATATTTTTGGCGAATACTGTTAAAAAATATTGTTATTTATAGGTTTTAGAAGAATATAAGGAACAAATTTCGACGAACACAGTTAACTTGGCAGGAAAAAAAAAAGTACAGTTGGTGGGTTTCGCTTATTCCGTGGCAAGGAATTGAAAATAACGCTAAATAGAACGTGCCAAATTACCAATAGTGACGTCAGAAAACTGTTACCACGAGATAATTCCATCGTGAATGTGCTGGCATTAAGTTTTCTCAGAAAAACGTGTACCACATTGATATATTACATGTAGGTCTATTTCAATTTCAAATAATAAAAAAAGATACTAGAGATCACGATCCCCATGAAATTTGACTAAATAAATTTATAGGTATTAGTATTTTTTTGATATTCAACCAGAAAAACAGAAAAAATATTTAATCGTTACTGCAGGAAGTTTTGAAGAGACAATCAAAAAACGTTGGAAGTGCGATTCCATGCGCATGCGTGGTTGTTTGACGTCTCGTTCAAAACCAATGTCATATCAATCCACCCAATACGAATTAGTGCGGCAATTCGACAGGTGGGTTTAGTTGTGGAATTTTTAGGGCAGTTTTTTCAAAATGTGCTCTGTGTTCAGCGAAAACGAGTTCAGTGTGTGAACATCACTGTCTGGAAAAACGACAGACGGCAAAGTGCAGGTTATTGTGTGAAATATACATGCATGCGCGCAAAGTCCTTTGCTTCTCTTGGAAGAAATCGTACCGTAGTAAATCTCATTGCCGACCGAGGTACTATAGGCGGCACTCTATTATATATGGATTTTGTTGGAACTTTATGAAGTTGACAATATCGTAAAGTTGTTCAAAGGAAATCAGTTGAACACGCTTCAGTATGGCGTGATTTTGAAAAATATATCCAGCGGTTAATTTATCTGATCAATATATCGGGGACGGGATTAATTTTGAAGTCTATCCACACGAAAACTCTGAGATAAATTTAAAAATTCACTTTTTATTATGAAATTATAACATAAAAATGTAGCTACAATTTTTACAATAAAATAAAAACAAATGAGACGGAACTATTTATATGTCTATAAATATTGTACGAATGTATATTACATAGATGCAATGTCTAGAACACAGTTTGAAGCGATCTAAATAAATCATATCACAGGATTTTACAAAAAGTAAGTTAATATCAGGAGGAGTTATTGTCTATTGAACTGGTATCGCCTGCCTTTAAAATGCACTTTTTGTAGTGGGTTCTCATGTTACTACTCTGGGAAAATGCCAGGCCGCAGTTTTCGCAGGAGTAGGGTTTAAGTCCTGTGTGGAAATTCAGATGCGTCTTGAGGTGATGTTTCTTGGTGAAACTTTTCGGACACAGATTGCACGCGTAAGGTTTGATGCCTGAAATATTATTGTCCCGATTAAAAACTATAGAAAGTTCGAATATGAATTTCAAAACCTGTGTGCAATCTGGCGTGCAAACTCATATTGGATCGGTCTGCGAAAGTTTTTCCGCATTCTGGACAAGAATAAGGCCGTTCTCCGGTATGCACGCGTTGGTGTTGCTTCAGCAGCATTTTTCTGGAGAATGTTTTGCCGCACGTGGGACATTCATGGGGTTTAACACCTAGAAAATTTTCTTAATTAGATATATCGATACATGGAAATCTTTGGTTTTAAATGAACTGAAGCGGTGTAAATAGCTTATTTGCACAACTGCCCTTTTGAAAATTACCGATGATATTTTTAAAGGTCTAGATGAAGGTAAAGTTACTGTTCTGGCTCTCTTGGATTATTCAAAAGCTTTTGATACGCTCAATTATTCTTTACTTGCCGCAGTTTTACATTACATAGTTTTTTTTTTTGTAAACGCATAAATATACTTTTTAGTTATCTCAGTAATAGGGTCCAAGCAGTGACATACAATTCAAAATTATCTTTTTTTATATCTCAATAAAGGCGTTCCACAGGGACCGATCCTTTTCTCTATATATACTTCAATTTTTTTGTTGCATTCTTCGAAAGTAAAAATAAACTAAACTTCTTTTCGACAAAGTATAGTGACTCTGTAAAAAATTTAGATCTACTATTGAACAGTGAATTGTGGTTTTCAAATCACATACCTAAATGCCTTCAAAAAACTTACTTCAATTTAAAGATCATTTACCAAAACAAGGATCATTTAAATAGAAAAACAAAAGTATTGTTGTTCAAGTCATTAGTGTTATTACAACTTAATTTCTGTGATGGTATCTTACATCCATGTTTGAATCACATTGAAATTTTTCGAATTCAGAATTTACAAAACTGCTGTTTGAGGCTGATGTTCTGCGTAAGAAAATTTGTGGGTATGTCACACTCTCCAAATGGTGGGATGGATAAATATGCAAAATAGAAGATATATGCATTCTGTTTGCTTATTTTACAAGATTTTAGTGAATAGATCTTCTTCTTCTCACACCACCACTTGACTCGATACATTTTTAGTACCTACTATTATAAAGTATATTAAGTTTAAGCTTCAAATATTTAAATTTAAAAATAAAATGTACTATTTTTAATGTATCTACAAAAAAAACTCTAATTAGGAAATAATTACCTTAACTAACTAAAAAGTTATGTTATATTGAACAGATAGTGATTAAAATTTTTGGAGTCACTAAGGATTTTTTTACACCGCTTGGCACTTCTTGGCACTCAAAATTAAAGCCCGAAACTTGCTCTCCAACATCGCAAAATCCGCATTTAAAAGCCTAGAATTAGAACAAAAAACTAAACGTCGGATAGTCAGATTTTTTTTAACTATTATAAAATTGATTATGCAAAATTCAAATATTACTATTTTTTTCAAAAAGTAGACCTTAATGCATGTTGAAAAATTTATAATAATAAAACCTGGTCGTAGTGGACAAAATAGTCCATTACAAGGTTTGCTAAGTTAAGTTTTCCGTTTAAGCCCTTATAGAACTATTTAAAAGAAAATCTTTTTTTTGTGATCCATGGACATAACGGATTACAAAATTTTGCAGTTACTAAGTACGGACCTGTAAAATGCAGGAAGTTTCTAATTATTTCTCATCAACAAATAGTCGTCGACAAATGGTCAATGTCAATATTCCCCAGTATGTGCTTACCGGTATGTATTCTGAGGTGCATATTGTAAGCTACTCTTTGGTTGAATCTTTTAGGGCAGTGTGGACACGCGTATTCTTTTTTGTCTCGATGAATCTTCATGTGACTGCTCAGGTACCCTTTGTCGTTGAACACTTTTCCACATTCGGTACACTTTGCAGAAAATTCCTTCGTACCGTCATGTACTGATCTAGAACAAGGAGATGTCAATTTTACTTTGGTTAACATTTCCGTTGAATTATTACTATTTTTATTATTAATTATAAGCAGAAACCTGAAGGTAAAAAATTAATGACTTGACTGACTTCTATATAAATTAAACGATGTTTCGTTATACTACGTACGTATTTGTTAAAATTAATTGGATTTTGGAGAAGGAATGTTTAAAAAGTTGATTTTGTGTCGAGATAAAGTAAACGGGCCTATTTGGTAATATCTCGAGTGCGTTTAAAATTAAATCAATTTACTTTCTCTTTTCGTGTACCAATTATAAAACCAACAATTCTTATCTATTTACGTAAAAAAGTTTTATATAAAAAGATTCAAAAATCAATATTGGCAAGATCATTCTTGGTCATGTCTCTGATGATCTATCCTACATTGTCAACACAATAGCTCTTTAAACATACAAAGAAAGTTAAAAAATACTGTCAATAACTATAAATGGTCATTGTGATATACAAAACAGATAGGTCTTAGTATATTCAGAGAATTACAATGAGCTTCGAAGAAACCAACTAAATTTTTATTTTTCGAAACTTATTTGCCTCATATCAGTAGTTAAATAAAATTTTAAGCTTTTGTATAAAATATAATAACGGTTTTTGAATTGTTTGTTTTATTATGTGAAAAAAAGTCCACTCCATTCTATACTATAGGCAAAAGAATGGCGACACTTCATTTATAATTTGTTCTAAAAAATGCTGTCTCAATTGAAAAAAAAACAGCGAACTATTTTAGGTTTTCCAATGAATATGTAAGACTTTAAGGCAACTGTTTTGCATTTCCAAATTTTGCCACGAAATATTTAATTATCTGACTTAAGAAAAAGCAAAAAAGTCATGTTAATTTGAAAGTGTCTCTCAAAAATATTATACGCTGGTTAGGTTAAACAATTTTTTTCTAATACGAATATTTCAGAATCAAAATATTGAACCGATACTTATACGTACCTGTGATACTTATAATTCCTCAACTGACTAAAGGTCTTTCCGCAGTCATCGCAATTAAAGACCCTCCTCTTTTCTGTACCGTTTTCCGTTTTCCTTTGTTTCTCGCTGCTTTTCCCGCATCCGTTTGTAACACTGCCGGAACTGTCGGTCAAATTATCGTTCGATGAAGAATCGACCGGTAATTCGTCGCTCGATTTTGATTTCATCGTTTCACACTTAAAATCGAAACTGTTGGAGATAGAATTGGCGTTTGTTAGAAAACTTAAATTTAAACCCACGTCTGGGGTTGCGGTTCCTTCCGGAACGTTGCTTTCGGTATCGTCGGCAGTTTCCCGAACATTTTTAAATAGATTGTTCTGGGATGGTGTTTTTGGTGCGTGCAAAATGTCCCGAGCGTTTTCGCCCGGTTTGTCTTTTAGGCATTCGACGTTGAAACGCAAATGCCGAACCACGTTGTTCAACTTTTTCGGCAGGTATTTTGGTTGTTGGGTACATTGCTGGTTTGGAGTTACAGGAAAGTTATTGTTGGAATCTTCTAGCTTCTGTTTGGGTTGCGACTGAATCTAAAATAATGGAATGTAAATGAACGTTCTTTATAGGTTAGTATAAAAGCGTAGAGTAATAAAATGGAATATGGAAATTTTAAAATTATTTTTCACCCCCCATAAAATACGGGCAAATGTAATAAAGGCTTTTGATGCTTTGTACCGGACTTCTCCAGTCATGGGCTTCGTTTAAATATTCCTAAAATACAATCCCTGGTGTTTGGCAACGCTGCAAATCAGTAACTAATATTTATACAACAGAGTATGGACTTAGGGAAAAGGCTTGATTGGGATACCCCATATCAAAAGTAAGTAGGGTGGTAAAGCCATGTACGGAGGGTGATTGCGCTAGGAATGTTATCAGCAGTGCTGCACTGATGGCTTATCATACGTTGCTTCAATCTGCACAAATACAGATTTCTGTTTTTGGGTAACTCTTTCTATTTTTGCTTGTACTACCAAAATAGTGCATACGTCGTATTTTTGGTATGAGGTATCGCAATAGTCGCAGACCTGTTATAGTGGAAAATAGTATTTTCACACTCTTTGACATGTATTGTTTGTTGTTTAAAAACAGAGATCTGTTTTTTGGCTAGATATATAAACATTGTTTTGTAACTAGATGTAAAGCAAACCTTGTACCTAAGAGATATAACTTCACCCATAAGAAGATTTATTCATTCATTCATGTATTCTTTAGCGATAACGATAACTCAACCGCAATATTGCAAATGTCTATGAATTTTTTATTACGACTTGTAAAATATACAGATTACCTTTTTTTTTGTCATAATTTTTAACCAATTAGCCATTATCCAAACTACCCAAAACTAACAAATGGGCTTTGTTGTCATATTTGATCACTTACCATCTTTTTTTATGTGGTTAGAAAGCGCACGACAGACCGATCAGTAAAAGTCCTCGATGCATTCGCCGAAGAATGACAGTTTCCCTTGCAACGAAAATATTTTTCGGAACTCTTAAAAAAAATGTGGATTTTGTCTGGGAAAACGATTACCGTAAAGTATTTTTACTGAAAATGAAGCACCAGTGCTCGCTAAGATTTCGTGGAATTCCGATCGACGAATATTAAGGTGTCTTCAGGAAAAGGGAAGAGACTGATAATCAATCAACCATATTGGAAGCGAAGAGGTGTTTTAAAATATTCGATAATATTTCAGTCTTGCCATATGGGTGATTCCGTTGTAACGGTAACTTTTTTTTACTTCAAATGCCTAATATTTAAAAAATAGACTTTAAATTTTTTTATGCATATTATTCATCTATGTTACTGTAAAGATAAAAGCCGGAAATGATTTAACTACAATTTCAAAGCGGCAAGAACGAGAAATAAAATTTCTAAAATATACTAGACGTTTCATAAATCTCAAGGTAGATGGCGCTCCAGTCATACAAATTCAAATGCAAGTCAACTGGAATTCAGTGTTAACTTAAAACATTAACAAAAAAAATGTCAGTTTTTTTTAGTTTGATTATAGAAATAAGAATTTATGAGGTGATTAGTTTATAGATAAATTTTTGAAATGGACATGACACGAACATTTAGCTGATATATTGTAGGTTCTCTCTGAATGAAAAAAGATCTTCATGATCATCTAATTAATACAAAAATTTCATTATTAGTTTAATTAATCACCAGTGAGAACAAACAATACAAGACATAAAAAGTCACAGTTAAAACAGAATCATTCATATGGGAGATTACAAAAAAGCCATGAATTAGGATTTTTTTGATCAATATTTTAGTGTAATGATAAAATATATTCTGAAGTAGTGATTCAGTGATATATTTAATTTGAAGATAATTTGATGAACTATTACATATAGCAAATTTACACAAACATTGTTTCATGGAATACGTCGTCAAAGATGTAGCAAACAAACTGCCCTGCGCACACCGCCATATCATTGCGAACTAAATCCTATAGAATTTATATGAGCGTAAGTGAAAACATTTGCAGCAATACACAACGCGACATTCAAAATGAAAGACTTTAAGCTACTGTTTGCTGACACCATTGAGGAAGTGATACCAGACAACTTGCTAAAAGCAGTCCAGCATGTCATTAAGTTAAATGTACGATCTTCACTACTTGATAGATCGGACCGTTGACCCGTTAATTATAACGCCAGGAGATTGATTTTTTATAATTTAATTTTTGTATAATTTTTTTTTGTATAATGTTCAATAAAACATAAGGCCATATAATACGACGTATATTGTGTCCCAAATTCGAGGGGCACTGTTGAGCTTTCGGAAACGTAAGAGATACGGAAGTCGAAGAGGTAAAGTTGCGCATTTTGATGCTTAATTTGAAACCGTTTTAAAATTAAGATATTTCCGAATAGTTTCGGAAATATCCGGAAAAAATCGAAAATCAAAAAAACATTTTTCGATTTTTTTCCTGATCTTAATTATAAAATTTTTTGACAACAAATGACCCTTTCTCATTGCAGCTTTTTCTGCCCAGCAAGTTTTAATTTTTGTTAAATACATACAAGAGCTCGTCATTCTGAAAAAATACATGTATCACACTTAATGGTTCACTAAAGAATACCGCCCTAAAATTGAAAATAAAGCCAAATTTATAAAAAAACATATAAGGTGGCTACGAAACAAAAGCATTTATGTCAAGCAGCCTTGACATAGTTGTCAATTATTAAAGTGCCGGGCTATTATAGGTTTTGTAATAAAAAATGTGTTTTCAAATGTGGAAAAAAGCGATATGTTACGTATTTATTACAATTCACTCAGAAATTCCAGAATTGCTAGTGAATGGTACCTAAATTAATATCCCCAGCGAGTGTAACCGCATCCAAATTTGTTTGCCGAATTGGGTATAAATTTGTTGAAATTCGGCAGTTTGAGCAAGCTGAGGAATGTCTCTGGTCGTTGAATTTATCCTACTGAAGAAAAGATAAAAGATCGTTTATGATGATGATCGATTCGTTCAACGAGCAATATTAAAATTACAAATACTTATCGTAAAATGCATTGAAACAGATGACTTTTAATTTGAACATCGTACATGATTCTGGGCTGTATTATTACCTATTTTACGGGATCAAAGAAATTTTATATTTTTAATATTAATTTAATGGATCTGTGTCAGGTTCTCAGTTGTTTCTTTCTTAATTTGCAGCAATAAAATATTTTTTTATATTTATTTTAAAAACGCCTTATTTTTCTAATGTAATAATTAGTTACCAAAGTAAAATGTAATGAAAACTCTGATATTTAACAAACACGTTTTGAATTTGGCGTTATTATTTAGAAAATTATTAAGTGTGATACATGTATTTTTTCAAATTATTAAATAAAAAGTGCAAGTTTGCATTTAAAAAATTGAGATTGACGATGGGCACACAAAAGTTAGTAATTTCAATTTGTCATTTGCCATTTTTCTTTTAGTTAAGGCCAGAAAAAAAATCAAATGAAATTTCTGAATTTCGGTTTTACATTACGCATCAAAATAAGCAAGTTTCCCTTTTCCGTTTTTCCATTTTACCAGTATTCTGTAGTTTTTATCACTCTACATCTTTCTGAAATAGACTTTAGAATTTGTAAAACTGGAAAAAACTATTTTTGGATTTCAATATTTGTTAGGTGATTAAGATTGTACGGTTTCATCAAGATATTAAGATTGGATTATTTATACTGTATTTAGGTACAAACAAATAGATAAATAATACTAGCATTTAATATAATATACAAAGCGCCGAGCAACGAACAGAAAATTATATTTCAAAAAAATCCAAACTATCCAAATAAAAAATTTTGGACATAGATATAAATTTAATACGTGTTTTTTATTATTTTTTTTTATCACGTACGTTTTTACATGCGTCATCGGTAATACGTTTAATATTCATTCAATATCTGTAATGATAAAATTAATTCGACTAGTTGCAAAAGTACCTTCGTTTGTCGTGCGCCAATGGGTTTAGTATTGTGAAAATGTAAATTCACTTAATAAAAAAAATGTTATGGATAGTTTTAGTTGTTGGATTATAAGTTTTGGTTAGTTTTTTGGATCAATACTTGTCAAAAATTTTTTGTTATAGTTTTTTTTGTGTTTGTTTTTCCATTTATCACTTTACTTTCAATGCGTCGAGGATCCGAACAGAACAATAATTTTACAAAAATTAAATAGCTTTTATATGAAACTCACTGTAGGAAATTTCTAATTATATGGCAGTTATAGACCTTAAACACACCAAAATCTGGCGACACGAATTTATTTATATTTTTTACGCAATCGCACAATATAATAGCAGTATAAAACTTTATGAAAAGAATGGCGCAACATAAGCGTATAAAATTTGAAGAAACCAACTATTAAAAGGAAAGAAAACTGACGGGAGCCTTTTATATTGTCGTCAAAATTATACGTTTCACGATAATTAGGTCACAGAATTATAAAGGATGCCAATTACAATCGTCATGCCAACATATAATCGAAACCATGATTGTGGCCTGTCTAGCTCCTTTCATGTGGCTTATTTTGATTATATAATATTAATGAAATTAATAAAAGCGATTTTCAAATATCCATTAAAAAAGTTTTTTTTTAAACAACTGGTTTTTCAAGAGTAAGCAACTGAGAAAATTTTTATTTTTCAACATATTTTTAAATGGATTCAGCATTGAGCATTGGCTAGAACATTTAGCCGTTACCTTAGCGTGTTACAGCAGGTTTTTTAATGTATTAAAACTATCTCATTAATAATGGAATTTAGATACTTTACTTACAGTGTCCTCCGAAAATGCCAAGTATACTTTCCTTGGATCGTCCATACAAGGCCGATCAATCCTTGGACACCACGGACTGGGTATTACCAAATTACACGGTTTTCTACTTTGAGAAGCGTGCCTGCCGATCGGAAGCAACTCCGGCACTTTCTTTAAAGTCTTACATTTTGAACTGGTATTAGTGTCTTCGATTTTCTTCACGTCTACCCCACAAAAGTTCGCTTTATCGGGAAATACGTTCTGGAGATACGTAGTATCCAGCTGGATCTTTAAAAACTTTGCCACCGAAAGGAAGTCCTCTATCGTATTGGAGTAGACTACCGTATTTCCGGTGTATATGTAATCCAAGATGGAAGACATGGTACTCCCTTTGATGTCTGGTAGAATTATTACGGTCGCCTCAGCGCAGTCTCTTCTTAAAATATCCTGGAAAAAAAAATGGTGTGTAAGGAATCTGTTGCATTTTGATTAGTTTAATTTTTTGAACAATTAATTTTGTTGTTCCCTTCACCCCTCTCATCAACAATTCGGCATATAACGAGCGCTGAGGAGAAATTTCAATACTACAGACGATATTTATAGATTTTTGTACGAAAGTCAAATTATTATTATTTTAACATCTTAGTATTCTCGACTTTGATTATAAACAGACATCGGAAAAAAATGAAAAAAATAATTTTTAACGTAAACAAAAAACATATTACTGTAATTCTTGTAATTATTATATTTTTCTATTTTGTGTGTACGGGAGGGTGGGTCAAGGAGGCCCAACTCAAAAACTAACCAAAATTTTTTTTTTCGTTATTATAATTATAAATTCTGGTTATTTGTGCATTTTTAGCTCTTTGCGTAATACCATGGGTAAAATGGTCCGCTATTCCATATTATTATAACCAAATCGTAATTAATTTATTGAGTGTTGTTTTTAGGATAATTCTATGGACTTAGCCAGAGCTTTCGAAAATATTATAAATACCAATACCAAATTTATTAAATTTATTAAACTAATCAGTAACTTTTTTTTTTTTACTAAATGCTTTTTAATAAACAATTATAATTACATATAACATAAATTTAGTTAAAGTTAGTAAAAAATCAATCGACAAAAAATCTCCTCCTATACACACTAAAATCACAATTTTAGCAGCTAATTCTTGAATTTTTTATATTATTAAATTCCACAGCAACATGTATGTTCATTTATGTTCTGCATATTACATTTCTTATATTTAATATTAATTATTAATTAATTAATCAGTAATTAGAGAAATTAAGAAAGAATTAAAAGCGATTATTACGCATTTCTTGGCTCTCCTTTATTGATTTTGATAGTTCCTAACAGAAAAAAAATACGTTTGATGAAAATTAGATATAGTTTTGTGTGCCGGAAATATCAGAAGAAATTTACCGCTCCACCTTAGCTACTAAAACCTATATTTTACCGCTATTTCGTCAACTGGACACATTATAGTAATTATTACTTTCTGTCTGCCGCCGCCATTACGGATTTTTTGTTCTAATCCATCTTAGGTGCCGCGGTTAATCAAATCCGAATTTTAACACCGCGTCTAGTGGAGTGAAAGAAGCATGAGATCAAATTAAACCGTGAGAGCTGCAGGAAAAATGTACCGCGCTTAGTCAGGAATTTCCGGAGGCCTAATATAAAAAAAAGACGAGAATTAATTTTAAATGTAAAATAGCTAATGCCATAACGGGAATAATTATATAATCATTCCTATCGTATTTTCACCGCATCAGGCCCACCCACAATAATTTTTAATATTCCGTTTAATTTATTTCAATTAAATAAACTTCCAAGGGAATACGTACGTAAAATTCTTCCTTTCGTTTATGATTTCTAACAACTGTGTTTTTAAGATCAAAATAAAATTTGGAAATGTTTCCAAATGTGACCACTTTAGTGACTTTTTGTTTCCGTACCAATTTTCGCAAAGGAAAGGAGGGGGTGCGGTCGAAATTTTTTTATCTTTAAGTTTTTAAAATATAATTTTTGTTAACAAATCATACATTGAGTACATATTAATTTCACACTTTTAAAACCTTCACTTATTGTATTATCTACTTTTAATTAATTTTTTCCCTTTTTTTTTCTAAATCAGTGGTCTAGGGTAGATTAATGTGCTCTAAAACCAGAATTAGACGGTGACATATCAACCAGCAATGTGGATTTTTTGTGAACAAATGATCTTACAGCTGGAACGCATTAATTAATATCTAGCGTTTTTCATTTTTTTTCTTTTTCTTTACTCATCGGTTTTCGGGAAAAATATTGAAGAACCAGTTTATGTATTACCTTTATACAGTGAACTACTATGAAATGAAATAAATTCATTTAAAAATCAGTTATTGGACTTCAAGAAAAATTGTGTTGTGTTCACCATTTTTTTGATTCCATGAAAAACAGAAACTTACCTGTACAAGTAATTTATTACAAGTCAGTAATGTGAATGAATGAAACCTACAAAATTGAAATCTTAATTTATAGAAATATTTTATTAGAAGTTGAGGATGATCTCCATGGACCATCTTCTAAAGAAGCTTGAAATAATAACGTTTATCTGTATTAAAAGGAGAATAATATCATCCGTATAACATAACATTACTACAGAAGCTGAATGATGTTAAACCCGACTGCAGACTACAGTTAAAACGATGATGGAAATGTACACCTTAAATCAGTTTTTCAAAAAATATTAAAAAAAATAAATAAATCTTACTGAAGCACCATCCTTACAATTTCTTTGCCAAATCCAAATCAGCCAAATAGGCAGATTTGTTTTCATCCCCATCTTGCCCCATTTTGCTCGAAAAGTGCGTGAGTATTTTAATAAGGTATTGACCGTGCAGTGAATTGGTAGAAGAGGATCAATGTCTTACAAGGTCTCCAAATATTACTCCACCGGATTTTTGTCCTCTGGGCATGTTTAAAATGGAAAGTGTAAAAGGAAAAACCGCAAAATTTAGATGATTTAAAAAGGGGAAATTAAGGAAAATATCCTGAGCAATGTGTTGGAAGGAGTTTTAGACGGATCAGCATATTGTCAAAAAGTTAGTAGTTGGCATTTTTAAATCTAATAATTTTTTTTGACGTGTTCTATTTATAACATTTTTCTCTCATTTTTAGTGGCTGTGGGTCTTGCAATGGGGTTTTTTGAGTATTTCGCGTTAAAAAAAATTACAGACTTCTTAAGTCTGCGTATCCAATAAAAATTAAAATTTCAATCCTCTGCGTTTCATTTATATTTGCTATATTCATTTTAGTTACTGACAGATATGTAATTCTGACAACAAACTTATATTTTTGTTTTCATTGTATCATGCGTGAAATTTTACACAAAAAAGTCGAAAATCGATTTAAAAAAATGGTGTTCCGTTTAAAAAAAGGAGCGTTTTGTCCTAGTCAGCATGTTTTCGGTTTACTACAAAAATACGCAAAAAAAATGGTGGGTGTGTGCAAGCATTTTTGTTGAAATTTTAGCCATTCACCCAGCCATTTATATATTATATTTATATACAGTGAAGGCTGCTGTATATTCATTTATAAATTTTTCTGTAATTTCAATGGGCGTTTATTTTTATTATAGGAATTTAAATTTGTTATAAGAGTAAGTCATAATAAAAAAAATGTATAGAGAATATCAAATTTTACTTTTGTTTGCTTCGTACTTTTACTTAGTACTTCTTAGATTCGTGTTTTAAATACTCTCCTCTCGCGCCTAAACAAACTCGTGACTAAAGTGGCATTTATTAAAGTGACAGATCTAATTTGAACGTCGATTGAAGCGTCAATTACAAACATAATTTTTTTGTAAATATTTTTTATAACGAAGATTCGGATTTCTCCCAACTTTCCAAGCGAAACCGTTACACAATAATTTCTTTCTGGCAAAGAAACAACAATTACACGTAATAGAACGTGGTGAGCTTTTAATTCGAACCATATTCCTTGGTAATTATGGGTTTCGATCCAGTAAAATAATCATCGGCACGCCATTTTTACGGTTAATTTTAATTGAATCGAATCATTAAAATTTAATATCAGTTATAAAACATCGTAAAAACAAAACGAATGCGTTAGCTAGTTCGTCTAGTTAAAAAGTGGCACACAGTTAATTACTATAGAACACACGCGCGCTCTTGCAATTTTTCCGTTTTTTTTTTCGCGACTCGAATGCCATAAAAAAAGGTAAACGCGGGTAACAATCGGATATCTTATTTTCGCAATTAGCCAGTGATTGAATGAATGATGGTTCGCCCGATAATATCGATCCGCCGATCGTGTTATTAGCCACTCAATTGACGTGTGTTTCAATCGCTTTGGCGCGTGCATATCCGACAAGCTAATTACCCGCGGATCGATCATTATCATTAGGAATGCATTTTAATTTATTTAATTGCTTATAAAGACGTCCTAGAAGAAACTATGCATACACAAATATTCTTTTTTTCCTTTACTATTCTTGAAAAGTAGAAAAAGCCGTTATGTTTAATGTGTTTTGAATACTTCTTTTTTTTATTCTTATTTTTATTATTATGTATTTTAACAAGAAAACCCTTGTTCCAATTACATAATGATATAGGGTAGGGTACTATTATAATACGACCAAAAATATAGTGCATTTATTGCTTTGTCGTTTTAAGTATTTGACAGTACCTTAACCACAGACCTTCGCAGGACTTGGTAAAACCCATCCCAACAGACCTGGCGAGGCTGTTTTCACTGGATAGTTCAAAGGTGACGAAAGTTCCGAAGTAAACTGTAATAAAAATTGTTGCAAATGATGTAGTCAAGAGGAAGGTGAGAGAAGATGGTAGTAGTTCGCGAGTTTTTAAAGACCAACACGCAGATCTAAATGGGTGTATAATCTACGACCCTTATATATAGTGTTTCAATCTTAGAAGAACTACATAAAAGAGCACTGACAGAGTAATTGTGCCAAAGAATCGTTGTGCACGTTTTTGAAGAATTTCGCAATGGAGGGTGGATTATTTAAATGCAATTGAAAAATTTTGATATCAAAATATATCAATACTGTATTTAGACGACACGTGGTTTGACGCTCATGACACAGTAAAAAAATGGTGGTGTTATAACAAAAAACAAGTGCGTACTAGACATGCGCCTTCCGCCTTCACATGGAAAACGCATAATAATTCTCGTTGCTGGGTCCAAAAATGGTTGGGTGGACGATGCCTTATTATTGTCTGTCAAAAACGTCAAAGACCGCGGAAATATTTGATGACTAATTTGAAAATACATTGTTGCCAAAACTATCGCCAAATACTGTTACTGTATTGGATAATCATTTAGTCCATAGAGAAATTCCACATACTTCTTCAAATAAAGAATAAAATAAAGAATTTCTGTACGAAAAGACTACAAAATCGATTCGATACTACAATAAAACGGACATGAAATCTTGGGATTACCCCCTTATCATTGTATATTTAACCCGATTGAGATCATTTGGTCTGAGTTGAAGGCGCATAGAAGAAGAAATAACACTGGACTGAAGATATCAAATTTTGTTTTTGTTAATATTTCTTTTTTAAATACGAAGTTCTTATTTATTGGATAATACAGTTTTAACGTTTTTTTCTATTCTGTTGTTGATATTTTTCCTGTTTTCCATTTAAATAAATAAAAAATAGAATACACCCTTCAATTATAAAATTTACCTGTTTTTAATATAGCCAGTTGTAAAACCTGCAGACGGGTATCAAAATAGAACCTACAATATACAAAATATATATGATATAATTAGAGCTAACAGTTCTTCTTTTATCTTTTGCTCAAATTCAATATCTCTGTTCGTAAGCTGGTCGAAGACGAAGTAGGTGTTTTTTTTTATAGGCCTTGAATGTTTAATTAGTATTTTACCATTTCTCCACACCAATCTTTGAAAATATCGGCATTCATGTGTTCGTTAAAATCTCCCGCTCGAGAGGACTCAAATGTCAATAAAGCCTCTGCAACATGTACGACTATCAGTCTTTTTTCCGATTACACTTTAATACTTCAATTAAAGTTTGATGAGCACCATCAACATTTTTGGAAATTGAAAATGTTCAGGTTTTCATAGCGATTTATTGGTTTATGACAGCTGTTTCCGCAACCCCGTGCTTTTATCAAATACGTATTTGAAAAAGGTACAATGTTACCGAAACAGCTGTCATAAACTAATAAATAGCTGTAAAAATCTGACCATTTTTGTTCTAGTCATCCAGTCATAAATCAGTGTAGAGAAAAAGGCTGTTGCGCTTGAAAAGCCATTAAGAAAAATTGTTACGCATTGTTATTATTATTTATCGAAATTGATTTCCACACTTAATGAAAATTCCGATCGTTCGGCATACATTGCAGAATAAGTGGCCAGGCACCACCTGTTTCAATATTGAATGTAAATAAATTACCGCGCGCCTCACATACATATTTATAAAATGTTTAATGTGGCTCGACACTGGCTGCTATAAGCATTCCCGAGGATCGTTTTTAAGTATTTTTCTACAACGTTCTTCAAAAATGAATAAACAAATCGTTAATTGCAATGTTCGTTTATTCAGAGTTGTACGTTTACGACGTCGACTGACAGATTAATGACGTCGAAATCGGCCGATTTAAGCGAACTCACTAATAAGCGCGTCCATTCAGTTCCAGAGGATGTCAAAGATATTGTATTAAATTATTTCTTGGCGCTCTCAATATATTGCCCATAAAATTATTATTAATAACTAAAACAAATGCAGCAAGTATGGGAAACTTATTTTTCTACTCCCGTCTGTAACATACCTAATTACCCACCGATCTAGCGTGCGGGAAGCATCACTTTACCACGTCAGTTTCCCTTCCCACCGGGCCACTTCGGACATTTCCGGGATTTTACCGCACGGGTTTGGGAACAACCGGACGTTTTCAGTTTTTACCGCACGGTTTGAATTTTGACGTTTGTCAATTCAGACGGTCATGTCAGTGAATGTATTGTTGTTGTCTTGCAAAAATGTACCCAAGAACTAATACACAGAAAAATGTTACTCAATATATCAGATAATTTAAATACTACGTGCTATAAGCTACAATTAAAATCTAGTGGACTAGTCGGTAAGTACGGACTTGGTTGATTTTCACATTTTAATATTAATATCTTGCCAAGACCCATTTACAAGATTAGGATTTGTTTTTTCTTGCTTATATGATTATTTATTTAATCCTTGGATGATTTTTCTTCCACTTACAGTCATTTTCTTTAAATAAACTGCTTAATGATCAGTTGTAATAGCTAAATAGACAACATAACGTTTTAAAATTGTGCTTATTCCGTTCTTTATATGACACATCCAATATACATCTCTCTCTGTCTTACGCATTCAAAAAGAGACAACAATAGCAGATCCGATCATAACAATAAACGAGTAGGTTTAATGGCAACTGGTAAATATGTTGATTGAATGGTACGAAGTTTAGTAATTCGATAATCTGTTATTATTTTTAATTTGTTAAATTGTGATTTTTTCGTGACCGTCGTGGAAAAATTATAGTATGCAACACGTTTTGTACAATCTTTGTCTCACTTGTTTATTAAGCCCTCGCTCCGCTGCGTTCCGCTCGTGCCAAACAAATTCGTGGGTCATTGCATAAGATACTATTAGACACGCGTTTAGAGTAGGGCATAGAAATTTGTTAGTTGTTAAGTTTACGAAAAATTGAGAATGTGCAGAAGACTTGAATTGTACTTTAATTTTGGTTAGTAAAAACCTTTATGAACCTGAAAACTTGGAGGTTTTCTGAAATTTTTTTTTGATTAGATCAAATCATTTTTCAGACTTTGGTCTGTTATTTCCATGGCGGAACGTTAGAAAGCATTTTTCATTTCATTTATTAGCATGTTACAAACATAGAAAATGTATACAATCAAATATACAATACAATGAAATATAACATGGAATAAGAATTTTACAAGGTAATATACACATTAAACATAAAGCATAATATATATAGCGCTCTGTGGGCCTCTGGACATACCTAAAAGCTGATCGAAGATTATCACAGAAACTTATCATCGAAAGCGGGGAGTCGGACTAGATATAGTTATTGATATATTAAAAAAGAGATAAACTCCTCCAAACTGTAAAATGATTGATGATTGAAAATGATTTGAACCTATTTATTGGGAGATGTTCTGTCTCGGACTTAAGTTTATCAAAAAAATGGATGCAGTACTAATTTGAACTTGGCCTCATTAAGGCGGAGATTGTCCCTATTCAGTGTTTTGTAGGAGTGAACTTTATGACATGTAAAAAATCTGTTTGATTCTCGTAAGCGCAAACCAGACACTTAAGTATATAATCGCTTGGTAGCTTGGAAAATTTTGGGATTTGTGATTATTCTAATTACCTTACCTTATTCTAACTACCCTACCGGGAGCCTAGCCCTAGTTTATTAGACCATAAAGCAAGCGGGACCCAATTAGAGTATGATATGATATAGTTTTACACTTTGTCCATTATTTACTTTTTTTGATGCGCCTTTTAGAGAAGATTAAATGGTTAAGAGTTAAGCTATTTCTTGTAAACCAGTCCTTAGCTCTTGTTGATTTAGAGTTAGCTTCAGCAAGTGCTTCAATAAGAGCTTTTTTTATTTGTCGTCCGGAAACGAGCAACGCGAGCAACCATTCAAAAGGGCTTCAGGAGTATCGTTGATATATATGAGAAAAAGGGTACGTCCCATTACTGAGCCCTGCATAACCCCATTTCTCACTTTAATGTGCTCGAGGTTTTGTTATTATAAACAACGTATTGTGCCCTCTCAGCTAGAAATGAACCTACTAGGCTTCGGCTCAAGATGTCAAACTTTTAATATTTTAATTTTTTTAGTAGAGTCGGGTGGTCCACACAGTCGAACTTTTTAGTAATATCGCAGAATATTGCATTCGTAAAGTTGCCTCTTTCTTGTCCTTTGACTATAGCTTTAACCATCTTGGTGATCGCAGAGTCGGTTGATCTACCCTCCCTGAATCTGTATTGCTGACCAAAGTAAAGATCAAAATTCTCAAAATGTTTGGTAATTTGCTTTTTTAATACTGATTCAATGATTTTTGATATACAAGGTACCATAGAAATAGGTCTAAAGTTGTTCGCAGTAACTTTCCCAGTTTATGTATGGGAAAACATTTTGACATTTTTAAAACATTTGGGTGCACTCCCTTGATTAGGCAGATGAATAAAATGCAGTAAATTTAGTCAACTTACCCTGAGCGTTGGACTAGCAATCGACAATATCAGCTTGTGCGCCATCAAGCGGCTACCTTGGCAACTTAAAATTACATCACAGGTTGATTCGGTGGTCTGCAGGTGTAGCGTACCGTCTTTGATTACTTTATCCATCTGCAAAAATAATTTAAGTATAGGAAAAGATATTTCATGCGGTTGCGGTAAAATGTACCTATTAATTTTTAGCTTTGGAAAAGTAATAGGCTGAACTACGTATTTGAAGAGGATGCTGTGCAATAGGTATCGGTATAGTTTATAATAATTTATAATTAGGATATTTCCTAGGATTGTATTAAACCACCGTAAGTAGAGAAAAAATCTGAAGTTTTCAAATGTTTATGTTCTTATATGCTTATTCTTTAGACAACAAATTTAAATTAAAAATAATCTCAAAATAATAATCACAGAATAAAAAAAAATGAAAATTTTCCCTAAAACCCTTAATTTAGAATGCCAACATATTGCAACAATGTTTAAAGGAATAACCTAGATAATATAAAAATTTTATTAACAAATATTACTTTAAATTTGATATTGAAAACAAGCAAGCAACACGTAATTCTTAGTTTTTTTATTTTCGATATTTTCCCCCTTTTTTTTGTTAGTTATTCTTTTTATATGTGTTGTCTCATATTTCGTTTACTTTTTATTCCTTATGCATTTATATTAAGTCGTTTATTGCTAAATAGATCGCATAAATTTTTTGAGATGTTTTTTAAAAGCACTTTATGATGTTAAAATTATAAATATCTGCCTTAAATCCTCATCTAGGAAATCATAAAAATTGGCCTACAAAAATTTGTAAGATCTTTTTACTTATTTTTTTTTTAGACTTATTTGTTATCACATTTCACTTTTCTCTACTTCTTGTATTGCAAGAATGAGGTATATTTTGAAGTTCGGTTTTGTTTTTGAATATATTTTAAAACGTTGGTTTAACAACTTACTAGGGTAAAACAGTTATTTTTGTTATTTTTATATTTTGTTTTAGGAAACACGGATGTTTATTTTAATTGTGATGTTTGTACAATTTATAATATTCTATGATGTTCAAGTGGAAAAAGTACTTTATAACATAAATATATTGTATTGTTACGATATCATAATGAGATTAATGTTGGAACTGAATTATTTAAACAACTATCAACGGTCGATATTACTGATGATCATGGAGGCCGACATCTTTTGTCGTCACCGTTTCACAAAGTCGTAATAATACTGATGGTATGATGATATGTATGCTTGTCGACTGTAAATCATTATAAATTGTTAAAATTGGATACTATTATTGACATTTAATATAATAATAAACAGTATATTCAACAATTTCTGGCATTGCTAACGGAGAACATGAACATATTAATATGTACTCTAGTACGGACAGAGGTAAAGGGTTACATACAGGCACTCAAGAATATATCGTATTGACTTAGGTCAGAAATACTCTTCGCACGTCTAAAGCTAAATATGTAGTGTTTGCAAAATCTGTTAGATTTAAAAGAGATGTTTGTATCTACTGAAATGTCAAACTGTTTGCGAAACGCAGTACAAATATGGGTTTTAATGGTTCATGTATTTCAAATATGTTTTCGCAGACGTCCTTAAGAGTTTTACAAATCCGTTCACTTTACCGTCGTCAATTTTAGAGATAAATCGTGCGGGATTACGAATACGATCTAAACACAGACATCTTCGAATCTTGCCGCGCCATTTTCAGAATCAATTTATCGCGTTATAGGAGCGTAAACCTCGCCAAGTAGCGACTTTAAAGTCACGTTTCTGTCTTTATTAATTCTGGTCAGGTACCGCACACAATTACAAATCATTTTACGATGCCGTGACCTCTGCCATGACAAATAAAAACGGTACCTGGCTCGTTTTTATTGTTTTCTTATTCCACTACAGTCAGTGGTTGCGCTCCAGAAACCTTTTTACGGCTATTAGGTTCACGCCACGAAAAAATACCAGTGGCATGACCGTAGGATTTTTTTCTATTTCGCTTTAGTTGACGACGACCAAGCCGATTGTTAATGGGGAACGTAATTACTTATACAAGCACTTTGTGGCAAAATAATACTAAAAGTGTGTGAGTTTCTTACATCAAGCCTGCTCAAAGTGTCACTTTAAAACGTCAGCCACTTTGATTGATTTTGGTACTTTGGTCACGTGTGCCGGTTTTGTTGCGAACTTGTAGGTTAACATTGGAGGCGTGTTCAACAAGTAAGGTGACTTTTGTAATTGTTAGAACACACAATTTGCATAAAATTTTGTGAAAAAAATGGAATACAGTGTTGCAAAACACTTGAGATATTTACAACGGCATATGGTATATACTATGAGCAACAAAAAAAAAGTTTATAAGTGGTACAAGCTATTCCAAGCACGTCAATAATTGATGAAAGCGTTGAAGAAGTGAAACAAATGGTATTGAAAAATTGTAATGTCACTATTAGAGAAGCCATTGATAATGTCGGCATCTTTATTGGGTCGTGCAATTTTGTTCGAAGTTTTGGATATGGACCGTCGAAACGTCAATGATGATCCGGATATACTCAAAAAGGTCATAAAAGGTAACGAATCATGGGTATATAGTTATGACATCGATACCAAAGCCTAATCATCCCAATGGAAGATCCCAAAATCGCCAAGACCCAAAAAAGCACGTCAAGTTCGATCAAATATCAAGGTTTTGCTTACTGTTTTCTTTGATTATCGTGGTGTAGCACATCAAGAGTTCACACCACAAGGTCGTACAGTAAATAAAAAACGTCCGGAATTGTTGGAAAACAATTCATGGATTTTGCATCTGCTCACTCATCGTTGCTTGCGTCTAACTTTTTAACCAAAAACAAAAACCACAATCGTGCCACCATATTCACCGGATATGGCCCCCTGCGACTTTTTCCTGTTCCCAAAACTCAAAAAACCCATGAAAGAAAGGAGGTTTGGAACGATTGAGGATATATAGAAAAAATCGCCGGAAGAACTCACGGTTATACCAGAAGTGCTTCGAGGATTGGAAAAAACTTTGATAAAACTTAAAAGTCGTCTTACTTTTTTAACACACCTCGTACTATTTATCTATCCAATTGCAAATGAGAAGATTTTAATATAATTTAGCTCTGAATCGGTGGAGATCCTACTAATGTTGCTGTGTTTGAATCTATCTTGGTGATCCATAGGGTACCCCAGGGGACTATTTTAGGATGATATATTTAAAGTTGTAAAGAACAGTTAAATTTTATTACTTGCTGACAATACAACGATACGTGTCATTGGTAATAATATCGAGCAAAAATGTAGCACGATATCAAATATATCTTGAAAATGCAGTACGAGAAACATTTGAATATCTGAAAATATCACAATTGAACTTTGATTTTGACTCATCGTGACTATATAATGAGAAACTTTTCTCAAAAGGGGGGTTTTATATCGAGATTAGACAAAAATTTAACAACTTATATTCAAAATGGTTACTTTATAATACGGATCAGGACGCTATCAGGACCCCATATGCATATTTGTTCAACTTTATTGGTCAGCCATGCGCGTGAAATTGAAGTTCAATAAATATACAGCCCATTACTTTACAATTGATTTCATCATAGAAAATCGATGTAACTTGAAAAGCTTGTAAGAGTTTCATTTAAAAGATTATCTCTGAAATTTTATTCTGATTGGTTTAAAAAAATTGTTTTTTTGTTATATAGGTTTTTTATACTTATACTCTATTGAGTCTCTAACCGTATTCTTTGAATGCTGATTTAATATTTTTCACATTTTGTTGCTGTCATTAATTTCTGTATTTTTTTTTGTAATTTGTTTGTTTTTTGTTATGTTGTTATATTTAAGACACATCTGCCAAATATTTTTGAACTACAGTAATTCAGGATCATTTTATACCGCATCGACGTGGAGTCCGCGAAAATCGGAAACATCTGCTTTGACGACACGAGGACGTCAGACGAACGAGGTTAAGACTCATAAACTATAACTTATATTAAGTACAGGTAACAATTTCCAACGGCTGCAATGTGACGTCACAAGGCGTTGTCGTGGTACGTCATATTTATGAGTTCTAGTCGAATTTTCGGCCCCTAATTTTAATATAAATATCTATTTTCCAAGAAAAATAATTATCAGGTAGACTTCATAACTCACACTTTATGTAAATGTGTTTTCCGAACACCGCTTTGGACGTACGACGGAAAGACGCAGTAAAAAAAAAACGTAAAAAACAAAAAAAACTTGGTTATAAGGACAAATGCTATGCGAAACTTATCCGTATCGCTTATTAATCAATCGCTAATAATTCCGCAGTTACGAATCACTTAAGTACTTAATTTATCGCCATTAGAAGAAAATTACCGCGAGTAAGTTATTTGATTGTTCTCTGAATCGCGCAGTTAGGGAACTCCTGCGGATCGGACGCAGCAGGAGATCCGAAACGTACGCTGTATATAAACGCTTGTTCACGATTAATTTCGGCTCATATTTACTTTGAGGCAGGTGCCTTTTTACATCGGGCAATTTTCGTGTGACGGATGTTCCGTGTAGGCAATAATTCGGAGGTCCTTTCGTGAATATTTTAAAAGTAATGGCGATGCCGTGCGGGTTCCATTAATCAGTTTTCAATAAAAAAGTTCGAATTTTAAGATGGATGTCGGTTGCGTCTCGAGGATTACCGATCCATTTAGTTAGTTAATATTTATTACCATCGAAAAAAAGGGTTTAAGTATGGAAGCAATGAAACAGATTTTTTTCTTTCGCCTTCTTATTTTAATTTAACTTGACTTTTTCTTCAGTTTCTTTAGTAATTGTGCCTGTAGATTTTTTTATTTTTATTTTCACCATTTTTATTTTAATTTTCTGGGCAGAGTGTTTTGGCATAAGTCTTTCGGGATAGGACAAACGTCGCTTGTGTTTTTTTGTGTTCATTTGCATTCTTGCAAAAACAGTGTTTAAAACAGCATAGGTGGATGTGACAAATTTAGTAGATTTTAACTTTAACTCGGAAACAGGTTAACCCATTGGTGAAACAAGATTTATTAGATTGCTTAATAGTATCTTTAAACCAAAATTATTTTGAATTTAATGGACAGATTTACATC